TTAATTTTAGTCCACGTTGCTTCGCTATTTCGATGATATGTCAAGTCAGTCAAGTATCGGCACCTATTGAAAGCAATCACTCTAATGTTTTAGATAATTGATCAGACAAATTGTTAATTTCGGTAAAAAAAAAAATTATGCTTTGATAAAGCCGAACAGCACCAAATGTCAAATGAAACTTACCAAAATGTATTACCGAAAAACGCAATTAAATCGGTTTTGGCGTTCCGTAACATTTACTCACAGGCATACCGACAAATGTATGTATTACTGTGGGTTTCTGAGACTGAAATCCTCGTTTTAAATATATTGTTATATCTGTTTTGGCTTAGACGATATGTTTTATACAAAGGTTTTGGTTTCAAAAAGTAACAGTTATATCAGTGACCTATGTTTATACCAGGCTTTAGCAGCATTACGAGCGTCATTGAAACCTGAGTCGCCAGCACTAGCGATGTTGGCCAACGAGGTGGAGAGGCTGGCGGGAGAACAGATGCGGCTGGAGGCGCACCTCGCGAGGACGGACACGTGGGCGGAGCACCTCGGCAGGTGGCGAGCATCGGTACACAGTGCTGAGGTAAACTATGTTTGATTGCATGTGTATGCCTTAACATATCTTATTCAAATTTGGCTCCGATATAGAACATAGTCTCGAGTAACATGTAAGATTTTCATACTTCTTAAAATTTTGGGCAGACGAAGTTGCGAGCGAGAGCTAGTTGTTTATGCTCTGGTTAAAATAATACAATCATTGTACAATATACAGAGATTTTAACAATTTTATTACTTCAAAGTAGACTCGCTAACATAGTATAGAGTAAGAGAAAATTCGTAATTTTTCTGCTAATGGGATACTTAGCGTTGGTTTATGAGACGAAAATCTCTATAAAACATATCGTCATCCCTGTCATCTTTGACGAAACAGAGCTACCTTATGTTTTAAAGGGGGATTTTGATCTCGGAAACCCAAGGTTAGTGTATATGTTTGTACGCAGGTAATAGACGAGTCAAAGCCACCTCAGTTTGTGATAGTGGTGCACATGGCGGAGCAGGAGCCCACTGCGGATGACGAGCGCCCGGAGCAGATATCCACAGGCTGGGTACTACTGCGGACACTTAATGAATTTCAAGTAAGTTGGTTCACGAATGATTTTGTAGAAGCACTTCAGTTGAATGAATGATACGTGTGTTTGAATTTTCTTCTCGCACAGAATCTAGACACATTAGTGACTAGAAAGGAACAAGGAGAATTTGTGTTGAGCTATTTTAAATTTGTGTTGTTTTTTTTTAGGAATTGCATAGAAAATTAAGGCCCATGTGTTCGGAGCTTAAAAATTTAGAACTACCGTCAAATTCGTTCAAGTTTCTATTTGGAAAGAATGACAGACAATCTTTAGAAAAAGCGAAAACATTGATACAGAAATATCTAGAAGTAAGTGTTTTCTTATTTTTTCAATTTTCCTAAAAAAATCTTCGTTTCGAAGATTTCATCAAAACCCTTGTTTCAGTTTGTATTAGAAGACGACCGGTTAAACCAAAGCGAGGCTTTATACACATTTCTTAATCCTAGTTCAGAATATTTAAAACAGGGAGATCTACCAAAGAAGAATAAGTTTTCATTTTCTACATTTTTTAAAAGGTGAGTCCAATAAAGTTATCTGTTTTGACGGTGACGATGGCGATGTTAATGATGACGATGATGATGATGATGATGATGATGGTGATATGTTAGCACAAGCAGCGAGGCGGGCGGTGTGGGGGGCGCGGCGCGGTGGTCGGGTGAGCGGGGCGGGGAGGGGTGCGGGCTGGCGGCGGACGATGAGGAGATGTCCCTCTACCTGGATGGCAACGGCTCCGACACCCCCAGGCATCTCAACAACTCTATCAGAGGTTACTTATGTCGTAAACCATGACTTAGTGTATATTTCTCATAGTAGCTGCGCAAAATTAAAAAAAAAAACATTGAAAATAATCTCATATGTTTCTCGAGACTATGTTTTCTATATCGAAATTACAATATGATGGGTTGAAAACCGTTGCGGAGTTATGGAGTACACATTTCCGAGATCATAGGCAACCTATGTGTTCTTCAGGACTGACCCTTAGTGTCGATTTCTCTTATTAAATATGCATTAAAATACCCATTAAATTGTTAGTGACCATTAAACGAATGTAGTGTAAAAGCTTAAGTGTTTTGGTTTTCATTGTCGAAACTTGTTATCATACCATATTGCTATCACTCTCAGTCTCTTTGAAAAGAACAGAGACAGCATCATTTAATAAAATTTATGTCACTGGACTTATCGCCGTAATGATAGGAACGTGATATAAAATTCATTTTTTATTTTAACACGAGATGACATTAATATGTCTAAACGCGTCATAAACACCCACGAAATCAACGATGGATCAAGTAAATATATTTTGGCACTGGTAATATTTATAGCGGAATTGCGACTAACCGCGTAATAAGAACATTTTAACAAGATTGGCGTTACTAATTAAAAAAACTGTTGTTCTAAATTTAATTTTAATTTGTAACGCCTGTTGCACATAAATTATAGTTAACAATTTATACGTAAGTTCTCTCGATTTTAACTGATCTCACCGCATAAATAAATCAGCTTCCACAAATTGACAATTAACACAATTATGTCCACAAATTAGAGATCGAAAATAGGACAGTCTAATTAAATAGACAATATATGAAATTGTCAGACATACGTTCTTAATAGCTGTCGCCAGCGACTTCGTTGAAGTTAAAAAAAACCTATTTATTAGTCTATGTGTTCTTCCAGACTGTGTTTTACATCTATACTAAATTTCAGTGATATTCATGCAGCTGCATGGAGATACCTTCTTACAAACATCCATCTATACATCCATATATTCGCATTTATTATTACCCGTTTCCACTGAATATTCCACGATTCTGTATCATGTCATCAAAACATTTTTGACAAAACAAATTAAAGTTCGTCACTCATTACACACAGATAACGCGTTGTCAAAAACTGAGCGTATCGTGCGCTGCATCAAGTATGTGCGGCGTATATGAGCGATGACCTTTTTAATAACATTAATCAGGTGCAGTTGGTATGGCGGAGGAGCGGGACAGTATAGCGGAGCCGTTGTACGCGTTGCTGAGCGAGGTGTTCGATATGCGCGGCGTGTTCCGCTGGCTGCGCAAGACATTGGTCACCTTTGTGCAGATCACATACGGAAGAACCATTAATAGGTAATATGTTACAGGCCATAGATATAAAAAAATGTCTCTTTTAATATACTAGCGTAAGAATTTAATTATTCATTTACCACTTCAAAGTTTTTTAGGCTTTAAAAGTGACATAGAATTAAACGTATTTTGTAACATGTTACACCAAAGATACTTTTTAACAAAAATTATAACCTAAAAAAAGGGTCTTGACAGATAGACGGACGGACAACAAAGTGATCCTATAAGGGTTCCCTTTTTTTCTTTCGAGATACGGAACTCTAAAAACATAACGTGTATGGCTAAATGTATGATTGTAGAAGAGAACTAGAGGAGGTGTCTCAGGACTCAAATGGTCTGTGGATCTCTACCTACCTATCTGGGTTACGGGTGTGAGTTATGTAACGTTAAAAAGAGGCAGCTAAGGCTTATTATTAACAAAATGTTTGAATACTTGTATGATTTTCATAGGCAAATAAAGGAGACGATATCTTGGCTGTTCTGTGAACATATGCTGCATTATTACACGGGCGTTGTGCTCAAGTCGTGGTGGCCGGGCGGCGTACTTAGCGAGACTACCAACAACAGGAATCTCAGGGATAAGGGTGATTATTCATTTCTTTTTTACTCTCTATCCCTTTTTCACCTTTTTTCCTTCCATCTCTCTCTATCCCTCTCTCCGCTCTCTTTCTAGATGTCAAATTTGAAAGAATTACAGGAAAGAAATGTAGGTTATAGGATGTTCTTTCTTTTGTACGTTATTTTTGTATGATTATGAATCAGGAATGTGTTAAATTGACCTTTATAAATGGACTGGCTATAGACATAGTATTTTGTGCCTATTTCGCCATTTTAACGCTAATGATAGTAGGTGTGGCGTGGATTCGGAATAGTATAGATAGAATGAAATGTCACGTAACGTCAAGAGGCGCGCTTAAATCGGAACGAAGTAAAAGCTAATTTCCAGGCAATTGCCTATCCATTTATAAAGATAGCATGTTGTGTATATGGTCAGAACACACGCGTACTCTGGCGCTGCAGCAGCTCTCGGAGAGCGTGGCTGGTGCGCTGGGCTCTCTGCTGGGCGCGCACACAGCGGCGCGCGGCGCTCACAAACTCTTCCATACATTGCAGAATACTACGCACAACAAACAACTCTTCTATGTAAGTATACCGACACCTCAATTATTTTTAAACAAACTTTTATACAACTTCGTGTACTTCTTTCGCCAAAACGAAATACTTTATACACATATGAACTTTGTTGCTTTAGCAAACTTGGTATTTACAGTAAAACACTTCTCACTTCTCACGTCAACAAACTGGTTGGTGTTATTATTTCACAATGTCAATTCACTTTAGCTCTAGTTGTCGCCCGAGACTCCGCCCGCGCGGAATTGAAAAAAACTTAATGAATGGTCTACATCTTCCAGATTATGTTCTACATCCAATGCCAAATTTCAGCATGTATTCATCCCTTCAAACATTCAAATTTATAATATTAGTAAGATTGTCACGAAATAAGTGACTACCATAAAATTTGCCTTCCTCTTTCCTTAATCAAGTCATTGGATAGAATTGAACACTTTGGATTTGGCTTTTACTGCTTTGATCCGGTTATTACCAGAACTAGGAAAAACCTGTTCTCAGAAAGATGTCCTCTATGGACTTGTGTACTTTCAACTTCATTTCAGGCGACGCGGTTAGTACTTGCCGTCAAGATATTACAACTTATTTGCAATAATATATTAAGTGAGTGTAAAATAAAATATTTGTAGGAAAAATATTTATTTGACCTTATCATTTATACAGTTTATTTTACGTTTTTCGTCTCGCTAAATAGAAAAATATACCAATAATAGCAACGAATGTCGCAGGTCCAAAAATATACATTATGACCACGGTCAGGATTAAGGCCATGCCTAAAATTATATGCGAATTTGTTCTCTCCACTGACACTATAATTTTCTCCGGCGTCCTACCCACGTACGAGATTGTCTGAAATAAAGATAATGACGTCACAACTTGCAACATTCAACGATTAATAAACTTAATAAAGTCAACTTACACTGTACTCCAAATTGTCTTCGTTTTTAACCATTAATATTTTTTCGCCCAGTATACTTTCTAAAATAAAAAAAGTTATTTTTTATACTTTATTTTTGATTAGGTTTCACTATGCGACTCCGTCGAATTTAAAAAAAAATTAGTAGAATATGTGTTCTTTCAGACTATGAGCTACATCTATGCCTAAATTTCAGCGAGGTCTTTGCAGCCGTTTTGGAGGTACCTTCTAACAAACATCCATCCATCTAAACATTAGCATTTTTAATATTCGTATAACAAAATATGCTTTAAATGGTCATAAATCGGCAATGTTATCCCTATTAGGCTCCTCTTGTCTTTCAATCTTTATGTTTTTTTAAGTTAGAGGAAGACCAAGAAAAGTATGGAATGACTGTGTGAAAGAGGATATGCGTAAGAAGGGGGTAGACTCGGATATGACGGCTGATAGAGATGTATGGAGGCGTATGTAGTACATACTGTGCCGACCATCGATAGGGATAAGGGTAGGTTGATGATGATGATTATGTTTTTTTAAGTTACATTTAATTGGACACTTTCTAGTAAAAATTCTGTACAAAAACATCTTGTCATTTCTTTATTGGAAAAATCAATGAAAACCTCAAAAGAAATAATAGTTTTCACTCACCGCTACATTCGACTTCAATCTTATTTATTTCGTCTAAAGCTCCGTCTTGTATTATGATATTGTTATAATCCTGACTGTATCTGAACATCTCTGCTGCTAATACATTCGAGTAATCATCTTTGTTCTTCATTTTAAATCCTCTTTTAATCTCATTTAGGAATAGGAATGCTCTTGAACGCTGACATGCCTTAAAATTACAATGCTTTGAATTTAAATCTTGAATCTTATTCAATGAAATACTAGACTGATTGACACTGGATTTCTTACATCAAAATCTCCGTTTAAAACATATTGTTATCTCTGTTTTGTCAACGATAATGACAGGGATGACGATATGTTTTATACAGAGATTTTGATCTCGAAACCAATGGATAATAAATCTCCTATTAAAATCAATTCATCGTAATAATAACTAATGTGTAGTTAAGCGGGATTTTGATCCAATTTTTTTATTTCCACCAAGACCTATACAGTGGTGATAGGCTTTTGTTATAAATATTGATAAAATTGTTAAACGAATATAAATTTTCTAAATAGCTACAATTAATTTAATTTCGTACTATTTTTTTTATTTCTATGATTTAAAAATGAATTAAAAAAAGGGTCTTTACAGACGGACGGACGGAAAACAAAGTGATCCTATGAGATTCCGTTTTTTTCCTATGAGGTACGGAACCCTAAAAAATATAAAACTATGTACTTACTTTATCAGTAACACACAAATAAACATAACCATTTTCAACGACATAATTTATCAAATACTTTCCATGTAAATAAGTCATTTTATCAGGTATGTTTGGTCGTTTTAGTAACATCTCACTCACAATATCCACGAAATTACCATCACATGAAGCGTACGCACTGATTATGTTTTTATTATTTGCTATTACACTGAATAAAATAGACATTTTTTTAATTACAAAAACACATTGATTTTTTTTATATTAAAATATAATTTCGTGTGTAGTAACGTACAGACGGAGACATTCTTCCGCAAGCTTTAGTCGTTTGTATCATATAAATATCACGCGCACGCGATCTCTGATCTAAAATTGGCTGTAAGTTGTTGACGCTTTGCTGAAATCGTTTCCACGGTATGAAAACTCTCGCAACGGTAATGGATCAAACTGACAGGTGAAATATAGTCTTATATATAAAATTGTCGTGTCACAATGTTACTATACTCCTCCGAAAGGACCTGACCGATTTTTATGAAATTTATTATGCATATTCAATAAGTCTGAGAATCTGCTACTATTATTCAATCTCGCGCAGACGGAGTTCCGGGCGGCAGCTAGTTTGTTTTAATATAAAAGTGTATTAGGGGATTTTCCATTTGTGTTATCTTAGAATAAAGTTCTTTTAATAAGGAATTATTTTCTTTAATTGGAAAACATATCGTATTTTGTTTTATGTAAATAAGACGACATCGATTGATGGGTTTTTTTCTTATCAATATGCTCATTAAGATCAGTTTCTGTCGAAACACTACAGCACTATATATTCATTCCTTTCATTCTGCTTGACAAAAGCGAGACAACAATATGCATTAATAAAATAACCACAACAATCGATTTGTACGGCAATATAAATATTTAATTTTACTTTCAGGAATTATTTGAAGTGGTCCTTCTCGAAGTGTTTCCAGAGCTCAAAAGATATCAATAAATATAGCACAATTATGTTACAAAAATATATGTTACGTTATCTTGTGCTAATAGAGCTAAGATGTATTTCGATTCGATTGTATGGTAATTTTTTGCTTCTTGCTAAATAAATGACCAAAACGTAACTTTCTAAATATTAGTAAATAATGTTTTCAAAGACTAAAGATCTGACTTTATATTATTTGGCTTTAACTAATACACTATTGACGTAGTGTTTGTTTGAATTATATTATTATGACTATGACAATTCGTGAACCCTTGTATTCTGACATTTACAGGGACTTATTCCAAAGATAAAATTTTTTACATTTGAATATATTCTAAATAAGTAGTTTATATGTTTATTTTTTAACAAAACTAAATAATTAAAGTTTTGCGCATGTCTATTATATATAGATTATACTATGTGGTATTATGTTTAATATTAAACTTATATAAAAACAGTTTAAAACTCACTTACATTTTAGTACGTATAGACTAGTTTCGAGCCCATTGGGGGCCCTTCATCAGGGTGAGTGGGACCGGTATTATTTCGCGGACCCTGCCCGAAGGACGAATATACGCGAGTGTTTAGCCGTTTTTATATAAGTTTATAATGTCTTACGAAATTTTGAATAATTTAATGTTTAATATTATTTATTTTTCGGGCGTCTCTTACCGTGGGTTTCTGAGACCAAAGTCTTAGTTCCAGATATATCGTCGTCCATGTCATTATCTTTGAAAAAACAGGGATAACAATATGTTTTAAACGTAGATTTTGTTCTCAGAAATTCAAGGTTACACTAACCAATGTATTTACAAATTCCAGCATATCAACAATATGTTATTTTGGTATTCAGAACAATTTAATATATCTTATTTATGAATTTAATGTTAGTTGTATAATTGCTAATTTTGATGCGCATCCTTATAACATAGCGCGAATCGTAATTAGAAATGGAATAATGTATATTTTGATCTCAATTTATATTTAAATGATAATTAAATGAATTTATTTTATTAAACCACTTAGCTTTGATTGTGCCAATTTAAATAAGTTACAGCACACCCACAATAACATGAGACTAATTTTTGTAAATAACTGAACTCCCTACTTTGTAGCACACGATATTATAAATTTCGACTCAATTTATCTATGTTTTATTATTTTCACATCTTGTCATAGACAACCCTTTGTTCACAACTAATGAAGAAAATGTATTACATTCCAAACTTTCATTGATTATTCCATAATGTAAATATATCCATATCTATGTCAAGGTGTGACGTCATCCAACTGAAGTCTCATGTTATTGTGGTCGAGTAGCGTGTATGTAGTATTATGCAAGATGCTTTTGTTCCGCGCGGCTTGATGCCTCGTTTACTTACGTGTAAGCACAGTTTGTGCTCTGTTTGAGATTTTGGTAGTATATCTTAGTTGTGGATAGGATGTGGAAAGCGGTGGACCGTATACTATGGTGGCATTGGGAAAGGCCTATGTCCAGCAGTGGACAAACAGGTTGACGATCACTATAATGTTTATAGATACGAATCAAAAGTTAGGTAAAGAATTTCACGAATATCGAAAATACAGTTTACTTCAGAGCGGGCTGGGCTCCAAAAGTAAACTTTTCAGAGTCGGTAAATTCGAATTGAAGGTAAGCCATTGTAGATGTTGGCATTTTACAGTACCTGAATTAAAAACTCTTGTTTTTATTTATTTTTTTAAGTTCTTTTGAAAGGTTTTAAATGCTAGTCTTGTTGAATCTGTTATAACAATAATATTATAAATTACTTGAGATTATAAGTAAATAGTTATTTGACGTATATCAGAATTACAAAATGTTTGTGTCGTTTCCAAAATTTAAAATATTTGAGGCTACTAGAGTTTATTGGTATTTAGTTGTATTTTCGTTAAAATAAAAAGAATAGTCGTATGAATTTTGGTGGCAACGTATAGAAAAATATTTCGCTAAGTTCATTGAACTTACAATTTTTTTATTTAAATTTTAATTGTCATCATCCCAAACAGCCAGCATCAAACATTTTGTTTTACTTTTTATTCATTACATTGTCGTTGTTATAGCACCTCCTTAGTTTTATTAATGAGGCAAGGAAATTTAGACAATAAACATATTTCTCAAAATTAAAAAACTACAAATCTTGTTGTCTAAAATGGGACAACTTGATTACTGTCTTATAAGACAAACTTAACCTTTTGTTGACTTTTATATTTTGTCAGGCCTATATTTTTACATTTACAAATTATATTTAATGTTAGTAATGTCGAATATCGGTAAAAAAAATGTTGATGAAATTATTTTTTATCTGTTATTTATCTTTTTTAAATATTTGAAGGAATAAAAATTCAATTGTTATTTTGTAAAGAAAAGAAGACTTGACTGTGTATATTTAATTAACTAACAAACTTTTGCCCTTTTTCTCAATAAATACTTCTATCGACTCTCTCTCTCTCTCAAGGTGCCTTTCCATTTAATGGAGGTTGGCCGTCAACTCAGTGAACTAAAAAATCGACTAAAAAAAATAATTTCATCAAAAATTTAAAATTAATGATTCGATACGTTGGATGTTTGTAGTAATTTAAATGTATAGATTTAATTATATCATTCCGTATCTATATTTGAATATGCTTTTATTGTAAAGACTACAATTTCATTCCTTATAATTATAATTTCCAACAAGGATCCTATGTATAAGGTTGTAACTCGTTTTTTGGTAATATTTTCTGTTTTTTATATACTTAAAAACATTATTGATTCCTGAAATCAAAATTTGAATACACTTTTACATCGTTAATTAAAACTAAAATGTGTTTTCTGAAAATCGCATTTTTGGAGTTATAACTATATACGCAGGAGCCTCGGTCTGTTTGACACTCTTCAAGTATTATTGTCTACGTATGCATTAGCTGTTCTGTATGTTGTCTGCGATCCTATCTTCTAAGTGTTATATACGTATGTTGACTAGGTGTAATCATTTAAAATATGTACGTGTCTACATTGAATGCTGAATGAAATAAATAATATGTATATTTTAAACATGTTGTTTTACTGTAATAATAAAATAGTGATTTGGAATATAATTAAAGTGACATATGTACCGTTTAAACACATGTTTTCCCACCATGAGCAGATTACCATACGCGACACGATGCACGCAAATTAGCTTAAGTTCGAACATCAATCGCCGTATGTGCTTACCGGACTATTAAAAACCATAGCCGTAGTTTGACGAATAATTCATATATCTCTGTTTAAACTCGACGTATCAATTTATATGCACGGATTACGCCATACATTGGTCCTTCGAGCCGGATCCTTTATAAACTTCGATGATATGCGGTTTTAATTATGCAGGAAATTATAGGAAGCGAGCTGTAGTAATTAGAAATAAAGCCAGGGTGGTAAATAAGTAACGCATAAATATTTGAATAATTTCTATACTTAAAATTTTAATACAATAATAAATCACACAACAGTTTTGACACCTTACTTAAGGAGGTAATGAAGGTGTAAAAACTGTTTATATAATTATCTTTTTAATACTAATGATTGATTAAAAATTAAATAATATTACACGCTAATAAAAAATATTACTGAAAAATTACAAATTTGGCACAAATCGCACGATGATTTAATGAATTTCAATTTATTATTATATTATAAATAAAGAGATTTCGAAAGTTTTGGAAACGCTTTGTGCGCATGATTATTTTGTGCATAAAATGACGAATGTCATTTTTACAAATATTACAAACGACAAAATGAAACTCCCCACATACAAATCGAATTATTCGAAATGATTGCCAACTTCCATCCTCGTACTCAAACCCAAAGTATTTGGTATCACAGCACTCATATTCCCTTCTCTTAAAAGCTATGCATTCAAAGAAATAGTTTATCTTAAAACTAACTCGAAACATTATAAAACATTCGAGTTGTGGCCAGTCCAATTCGATTTTGAAGTTTACATAAAGTTTGAAAACAATTTTTAATATAAAAATTGAATCGTCACAATGAAAAAACCAAAGAAGAATATTGATATTATGCAACGCTCGTAAATTAATTCTGTATCGATGGAATGGATTGATTATTGAAGCGTTAAAACAGTGTATTTTATACACAGCAAATGTAATTTAGTAAAATACGAGGAATAAACTTTGAATGGCGCAACAAACTCTTATTAAATTAAACAATATTGAAGTACACACCGACAAAGTTATCTGGCCCGGTGAGAGGCGTTATTATAGCGATTAGTTCTGTCGTTGTATGTTAAACTTATAGGCATAGAGAATGACACACAAGACATGACAAAACTACCGCAGTACGACAAGGATCTTGTGACACTTTTTTAGCATTGATGAATTGATATAATTAGCCATTGTAATTGTGCCTACCGGGTCAGATAAGTTTGTCAGTCTATACTATAGTTATTTGTTAGTTGTTATATATACACGTGTGTTTATTCAAAATAAACATCAGGACACAAAAATAACCACTAATTTACACATTTTTTTCATTTCAAAATATACCAATCTTTCATCGGTGTATTTAAATAAAAGATTTTATCTATGAAATAGTAATAAATAATTTTGCAGTAATAATTTTGAAAAATATTTGACGGCGATAACAACAGTCTGGTTGAATTGAAGCGGATAAAAATAATTTCTCTGCGCAAATACATTTTGAATCTGTAACCGTTACCAGTCCTAAGTCTACCTTAGATTATATCACCCTGTGAAACTTTACCCGCCCTTTGCGGGCGTCATTAGAACCCTCGATAAAACACAAAGAAAATAATATGATATCCCATAACTGAAGTAATGAGGCAATCTATATTTAGTAGGAAACTCCAAAGCATATTTTTAAAGACATAATTCTAATTAATTACTAAAGGAATGTACTCTGATATGAGACGTGCAATATTCCAACGCATCTGTTCAATCAAATATAAACGAGTTGTGTTTCATCGCATGTTATAAATAAATTATTATTTACAATTCAATATGTCTGACAAAAAATCTTCGTAATTAAAACTAATTATTTACATTGATATCTTATTGTCACCATATTAATTGTGGTGAAGTAAATACTAGAAGCATTAGAGGAAACCGATCAGAAAATAAGACCATTATCTAGTGACGATTATCGATGAGATCCATGATTAAATCAATACCATATATGTTAACTATATTTACCAATACATTTATATAAATATATGTACGTACATTCAGCAAACATACAATTACAGTGATGCGAGGCCGGGATTCCATTCATAGCCCGTCACTAAAGAAATGAACATAAAAAAAATAATCCCAGACCTCAATACATATTATAATCTATGTTTTTTATAAGTTTTAATTTCTCCATGTATCGTGTTCTCGTGAGCCTACGAGAAATGAAACACGGACTTGTACGAAAATAATACAAATTTTATATATTTCATTTAATTCTATGTGTTACACTTATTCTATAAAAAATCATATTTCTGTAACTACGATACTACGTAGGGCGAATGCGAACAATTGAAGCAAAATAATCTAAAGAATTCACCCATTCTAGTATCGTAGAAGTATAAAAAATATAAAAATTAAGAAAATCTAACAACGCCGCAAGATGACATGATTTCGATTTACATTTCGTTCAAATTTTAACGTAAATAACTACAGGAATGCGTTACTCAGTTTTTTTTTAATTAATCTATTTACACATTAATAAAATATCATTTTAGTCTTCTAGACTTACCTAAATTCTACACGATATCCATTTTCTATAAACAATAACAATGTTTAAGATTCATATTCCCGAGGAATGTTCTAAAATCACAAACACTTTCATACATATATAGTTATATGACGGAGTTTCAATACTGACAACAAGGTTGAATCGATATATAAAGTAGGCTAGGACAGATACGTTCCTACAAATTTAGCCTACATTAATTTTTCCAATCAGTTTACAATTAACAATAATCTTACTGTATATATCTACGTATATGTCCATTTTATTGATATTTGGAATTGACGAAATTAGGTGGTGGAATAGGCGCCGCATCTCGTATTTCAAATTAGTTTCCATTAAGTTTTGTTGTATACTCTGTGACTTTAGAGGCGCGTGTTTTTCTTTGTCATCAGCCTGTATAGCGTTTCTAGGAGCTCTAACATTGATTGTAATTGATACACCGCCTGCTCTAAAAACTATGTGTCATTTCTACAACTGTCTATTCCTGGTAATTGAGATCGTTTTTTCGTTAAGATGCCATTACACTCACGTTGAAATCGAAATCTTTGTTACTTAATAGATTTATTGCAATTGTAATTTTAATTAATTAATTCGATTCACATCGTCAATGTGATGGCACCTGGCACCTGGCACCTTGCACCTTACAGGTCCGAGTTCAGGCGAAGGGGTGTAAGGTGACAGGTTCAAAGTCATCGTGCGAGGGTCGGCGGTGCGGCGGCGGCGGCGGTGGCGGTAACAGGCTGGTGCCCTCCGGGATATAGACGTTGGTCACACGTTCCTAATGAAAAAAAATACAATGATCTATTTAATTGATAATTTGTTTCCTAAAATACAGCACACATTGAGGAACTCATATATAAATACTGACACTGGTGTTTTTAAATCTGGCATATAACAATGTTATGTTTATTCGAAACGAATTTTAGATGAAAATTTTCAAAGTCTGCGCTACTATGGTACTTTATCAACAACAGTTACAATAATGTTGCTCACAAACCTGGCTTTTGTCGTACTTGAATATCCCTTGGAACCTGTTACCGCGGCGGTCGACGTCGCTTGGCGCGCTGGTGCCAGCCGCGCAGCTATAGTTGGGATTGTGGAAGGAGATGTGGCCGCCGGACTCACGGTAGTTCTCCTTCAGGTCGCCGCCGCGCCCCGGGTGCAATTTCACTGGAATTAACAGAATTTATTAAGGAATGAGAAATAGAAATCTTAGAATCTTGTCTTAGCAAGACAAATCGTTACTTACCACAAATGACAATAATAGTAAGGGCGCCGAGTACGACGCAGCATCCAAGTACCGCGCCAATTATGATGACACCGACGCTCTTCTCCGGCTGGGGCGTGGGCAACGGCTGCTTAGTCGATACCTCGGTGTCCATGTAGTCGTAGTAGGATGGATAATGAGATGGCATTCTTGTATCGACTCGTAATTTTATTTCTGCAAAAGTAAATTCTCAGTTCAGTTGTAAATATTACTTGCTAAATTCTATAAAATTACTTAAAGTTGTTTTACCAATAAACTAGAAGAATGAATATTAGTATCCCGAATTATATTTTCTTGGAACTATTTTAAGTGTTTATAACTTTGATGCTAAGTTCCAAAGCTGTAGTAACATCCTTACCTTGTTATTGCTTTTGTGGGACTTACTATTTTTAAAGCCTGACCAACAATGTTGTTTTAGAAGCATAAGTGGAGCAACTTTTTTGTTTTTAAATATTAGCGACTGATAGATCGGTAGGCCGCTAGGGAATAAAACTAAAACTTTAATATGAATCGATAAAAAGTATTACCTGCAGTGCAAGGCCGTTCATCTGGTACATTCGGGCAGTCGCATACATAATCTGGTCCTCTAAAGAGACAGAGGTGGCTGCAGCCACCGTTGTCATCTCGGCATGGGTTCCAGCCGCGTTGCTTTTCCGCCGACACCGCTTTGATCTCCATCAATGTGTCCAGTTCTGCGCTAACCGCGGTTACGTTCTTACCAGTTTTCTTGTCGACCCTCATTACCGACTTCTTGAACCAGTCCGTCCAGTAGATGTAATCGTTGAACTGTAGAAAGATTTATTCTTTTCAATGTGTGCCAATTACAGAAACGATGTGTTACTTTAAAACATATACATTTTACACTCTCACAAAATCGCGTAACTTTTCGGATTTTTACCAGAAGTAATTGGTAAATTTTAGGTTTTACCGCTAAATCCTTTTTCATCGTAATTTAGGCTTTAGCAGGAACAGATGTATTTGGTAAATGGCTTATAAAAAACTAATTATTCTATTTATTAATACATGTTATAATTACCTGATTTGGACAAGCTAATTTAGACTAAAAGGTGTTTTCATTTACCTAGCGTTTCTACGTTACTTAGTTATTTACCCACCTGTGTCATTCCGAAAGGATTTTTAGCATGAGGTACTAATTGCACTCTATGTTGTCCATTCAGATCAGATGTATCGATTCTCTGTTTCAAAGCATCGGTCCAATAGAGTCTGCGGTCTTTGAAGTCAATTGTCAGACCATTCGGGAATCCGAGGTCGTGTGTAACGATGGCTTTTCTCTGACTACCGTCTAGCAAAGCTCGCTCGATCAATGGCATCTCGCCCCAATCGCTCCAATAAAGAAATCTACAAATAATATTTTAAAGCTTAAGAAAATTTGTTGATTCACCTTGTTAATTGTTCTTGATTGTCATTTCTAATGCAAACTGTATGATATTGATCAGATGTAATGTCGTAACTTATGAATAATTGTAACATTACCCTTTTGCTGGGAATAACGTAAGGGAACGAGGTTCTGTCAAATTTCTGACCAATGTCTTCCTGCAACTGCCATCTAACCGTGATACCTCCACCACCTAAAATTGAATATTTAATTAGCAAAAATGTTTGCGATTTGTTATCATTTACATGAACAGGATAATGGTACGAAGTTACCTTGTATTCATTATCGGTCCAATACATATTGTTGGCTATCCAGTCAATACCCAAACCGTTCGGAGCAGTCAAGTTTTCTTTGATTATAACATTGGTATCTCTCATGTTTGTCATATTTACAGATCTAAAGACATAATTAAATAATTTAACAAACTTAAAGATACAAATTTTTTGGCTTGTATTAATTTAAACAATTGTCAATATTGAACAAACCTGATCACACTATAACCAACATCAGTAAAGTATATCATTTTTGCTTCCCAATGATAATCAACTGCTACCGTATTTGAGATGTTCTTTACGGGTAGAGTGATATCCCATTGCTCCGGTGTGTCCAAAGACATCATAGTCAAAGTCTTTTTAGTAGCAAACACCAGGAAATTGTCAGGATGAGGTTTGCAGATTTTCGGATTTGATTCAGTGTCGTTTTCGAAAAGTATTCCCGTCGGACAAGCACACGAATAACCTTGAGGAGCACGTAGGCAGAGATGTGAACAGCCTCCGTTATTCTCACCACAAGCGTTAGTAAAAACTTGGTCGCCCTGAAATAGTTTCAAATTGCACCATTTGTAAATCGTCCGTGGAAAAGAATATATTGGTTCTGAGATTTAATTGGTCATTTTTGCTTCATCTAATATCACAGAGATATACTAACAAATTCACTCTAATTTTTATTTTATAAAATAGTTAAATACTAACTTGAACAGCGCGTAGATTCATCAAACCTTCCAAATTCTCTCTGATCTTCAATTGGTTTTCGCCAGTAGTCTTATCGGCTCTATGAAGAGCCTTGGTCTTCCAGTCCGTCCAATAGATGTGTTGGCCTACTATCACTATGCCGTAGGGATAAGGGACTTTGTTCAGAAGGATACGTCGTTCTTTACCATTGAAATTGGAACTCTCTATTGTAAGCATTTTAGCATCATTCCAGTATAAGCGGCCTTCGATTCTATCTATCGCTAAACCGTTGGGCCATTTGATATTGTTATCTATAATGACGTGCCTGTGAAATAAAAGTTTTATGTATAAATGCAAAGCAAGCTGGATTTCATAAGAAGAGATACTGTAAAATAAATTTTCCATTTTACCTGTTTTTACCGTCCATGTCCGCCCGCTCAATTTTAGCCGTTGTTCCCCAGTCTGACCAGAACATATACCCCTGTTCGTAATACAATGCGATGGCTCGAGGAGAATCTGAATAAAACATATTACAATAATTAAAATGAAACCTAACTATACTATTATTCATGCAAAAAATCACACATACCCAATCCAGTCCAAATAAGTAGTTTCCTATTGCTTCCATCTAATTCTGCAACTTCAATGCTATTACGTCCTCCGTCCGTCCAATAAATCTAAATGAAAACACTTTTTAAGTAAACACGTTCTATTCATAGATATTTATTATTATTATATATTTATTATTATTTATTCTACTATCTAATTAAATTAACAGGTTTAAACGTTTTTTAAGTTAGCTAGTTAGTAAGCTAATACCATACCTTTCGTCCAGCGGAGTCAATAGCCATGCCGTCGCACGTACGGATGCCGTGCGAGAAAATCGTCTCAACATTTTGTCCGTGTCTATTCGATCGCTGAATAATTCTTTCGGCCGTATCACTCCAGTAGACCATACCTACGAAATAGTACCGGTTAAGAGAATTATAAAAAATAGACAGCCTGATGACGAAAAAAGGAAGCCGAGTTTTATTAAATTTACCTGTTCTTTGATCGACATCAACACCTAATGTATTCTTGAGGGGAGGCAGCGGCATGACAACATCTACGAGGTAAGGCACATCCAAGGACATAACGCGTATGTCAATACGATGTGCAAAAATCAAATAATTCAACGGACCTTCGGGACATGTTTTTTTATCGTCCTGCGAAATTAATAACGTTACCATTACACTACTATTTTCAAATTCTTCGCTATTATAATTAACAGAATACATACATTTATTTTTATACCCGTCGGACAAGCACAAGATCGACCATTTGGTTTTAATAGGCAAAGATGAGAACAACCACCATTATTTTTCGCACAACTGAAACAATAAAATCATGTTCAGTATAGTTTCTTTAAGCTTTATTTATTGAATGCTGATTCTCTGTAACTTACCGATTGGCTACAAATTTCCTTTCAGTATGAAATACTCTGACATCCATAAGACCATCGATCCCAGCGCCCAGGGTGCGACGATTTTTACCAGTATATTTGTTTGCTGCTTGTATAGATTTCGCTTCCCAATCCGTCCAAAGAACTTCATCGCCGAATAAATCCAATCCAAAGGGATGTGGAATATTTTGAGCTTGAGATACAAAAACAGAAAATAAAGATAATTTTAAGAAGTGGATATTAGATTATGTATTAATTTATGAAAAAATGGGGTCCAGCGAGCAAATTATTGATATTTGACCCCAAATACCCGCAAACAAACATAAAAAATAAGTATGGCATAAAAATTAAACGTTACTTAACCACACATATCTTATGAAATCATCTGTAAAAACTAAATAGTTTTCTTACCAATTAAAACAGTTCGACCAGTCCCGTCAAGATTAGCGTATTCTATTGTTCGGTTTCCGCCATCGCTCCAATAGAGTCGATTATTATCATAATCCACCGCCAGTCCATTCGGCCAGGTCATGTCTCCGAAGAGAATCCTCTTTCGATTGCTACCGTCCATATCAGCACGCTCTATACAAGGAGTCGCACCCCAATCAGACCAATACATAACCCCGCCTAGAAATGTTAAAGATTTTATAACGAAGTTAGCAGTAAATTAAAAAAAAAAGTAGTAAAGTTGGCAATTTACAATTAAGTAAAGTTGTGTCCTTACAAGACCTTTCTTAATTAATAATTTTAATGATAAATTAAAAAAATACCTTTCGGATTTAAAACTATATCTCTTGGCTTGTCAATGTCTTTCCAAGCTAAAAGTCCTCTCATAGTACCATCAGAATTTGCTACTTCAATTCTGTTACTTCCAGAATCGGTCCAATATAACTTATCAGTCAACCAGTCATAAGCTAAGCCCGCCGGTGATACTGTAGAAATAAAAAGTATAAAACAGTGACTTACAAAACGTTACAAATTAATAATGAATTATAAAGTAATAGTAGAAAAGCGTCGGTAGCTCATGGGTTTAAGCACTTGACTTGTATTCTGCAGGTCTTGGGTTTGAATACCGCCATGTACCAATGTGTTATCGATTTTACATATGTACATTTATCCGACGTTCTCACGGTGAAGGAAAACATCGTGATGCAACCTGCACATATCTGAAAAGAAATTCAAAGATGTGTGTGAAGTCAACAAACCGCACAGGGCCAGCGTGGTTGACTATGGCCTAGTCACCCCTGACTTAGCAGGCTTCGAGCCCCTCGGTTTGGACGTATAGTGAGTTGATGATGTTATGAAGTATTAGGGACATTATTAAAGACTTACTAAGGTTAGAAGAAACTATAACTGTTTGATTAGATCCGTTAAGATATGCGCGATTAATTGTATCTTTATCAACGTCAGTCCAAAATATTGTATTCGTATTGTGATCCCAATCCATAGCTACGCCATATTTTACATTTTCTAATGGAATAACCTGTACAATATAAACATATAAGTTTTCATACACAAATAACAAGAGTTGACTAATTAAATTATTAAATTAAATACAACTTACGGCATCCAATGAATCTATTTGCTTGCGAGGATTCAATAGTTTAAGTCTTATATTTTTCTTACTAACATATAACAGGAGTTTCTCCGGGGTGTCTTCACAGGTGCGGCTGGATAAATTAAAAATAAAATAATTTAATATAGAAAGAGTATTATTGCGAAAGGCAGAATAAAATAAATATTACCCATCAGATTTTAAATTGAATCCGGCGGGACACCGACATGAGTAATCGATGCTGTTGGGGAGACAGAGGTGGGAACAACCTCCGTTGTCATTACCACAACGATTTCTGTACGTACGAATTTGCCGCATTGGATGGTAGCTATAAAGAGAAAAATAAATATAGAACAACCTTACACAAAAAGTAATTTTTATTGATATTTTAATTCTAATCTAAAATCAGTAGTAAGTTATAATTTTAGTTACATGCATTCAGTCCTACCTGTGGATATCCATAGGAGCAGTAGGACTGGCATGTACAGTTTGTATTCCCTTTCCAGTATATTTATTAACCGTTGATATGCTCTTTGTGTGCCAGTCTGTCCAATAAACTGCGTCCTCAAATACCGTCAAAGCAAATGGATGTGGTAGACCTTTGTTAGTTACCTGTATGATACATAAATGGATTTCATTCTAAGTATTTTACTACCAACTAATTGTTTTTGTAAATATCAAAGTCACCCTTACCCTTTTCCTATCCTTTCCATCGAAAGACGCTTTCTCTATGACGTGGTGTCTCGCATCTGCCCAGTATATTTTAGATTCTACGTAATCTATCGTAAGTCCATTAGGCCAAAATATGTTGTCAAAGATTATACTCCGTCTTCTTTTACCATCCATGTCAGTCCTTTCTATTTTTGGGTTTGGACCTGTAAGTATTGAAAGGGGTAGTGAGTAACTTAAGTTTTTTTTTTGGGCGGCGCTATGCCGCCCTCTCGTTCCCCCTGGCATGTTGTGGCCAGAGACTTTGGTTACTTTTTTAAATTATTCACAAAATTCTTACACTAGTTGCTTATAAATTAATACATTTTTACTTACTGCTAATTTAAAACTTAATACTATACAGTTAAAAAAAATACTTAAAATTTAATATTACTATTTACATTTTAAAATTTCTTAAATAAAATGAGTAACTTAAGTTAGCCTAAATCGTAAATTCGATTTTATGGTATTTGAAGCATTATCTTACCCCAGTCAGTCCAAAAAACCAAAGCGTCTCCGGGATGCACAGCAATAGCTCGAGGTTTGTCCAAGTCAGTAGCAGTTAACACCGCTCGCTTCATACCATCTAACGTCGCAACCTCGACCCTTCTGTTGCCCGAATCAGTCCAAAACAGCAAATTGTGTATCCAATCCAAGGCCAGGCCACCTGGCGTTTCTAATCCCCATTTTATTACATCTAAAAATATAGGAGCATGTATTTAAAACTTTATTCTTAATTATGTGATCTGATTCAAACTCAAATACACTGGGAAATATTGAGTTTCGGGAATGTGCAACAAAAGATAAAATATTATATAAAGTACCGACTACAAGATTATTATTTACTACTTACTCTACAAATTTTATCACAAGAAAAACTAATAATACACTAGAATCGTAAAATTATAGTTCTTTTACCTGACATTGTATTGTTAATCAATTCAACAACTCTTATTACTTTCATGTTGTTCTCTGACCAGAAAATGAGTTGCTTTTCGTAATGATAATCCAGACAGACTGCGTTATGGAGTCCTTTTATCACTGGCTCGTAATTTTCACCAGTTAACCAAACCTGGGCAAATAATTGCATAGATATTAATGGATATTACTTCACAAAATGTTATACAGTAAAAAATAGACACGTCAAAAATGCAAGGTTTAAATATTACCTTTCGTATGCCAATTCTATTGGTGAACAGCAGTGTGGGTGACTCGCCAATAGGTTTGCAGGAGCGGGCGTCAGGGCGCAGAACATAGCCCGTCATGCAGCCGCATGTGAAACTGCCCGGAGTGTTGGAGCACGTCTGTGAGCACACTGGGTCCTGCTCGAACATGCACTCGTCGATGTCGTGGCAACTGTTAATATTATGAACTTGTTTAAATCTTTGCTCATCAATCTATTAACTTATTAGGGCTTGCAATAAGGGATGATAAACCAATTTAAGGAAATTTCGAACTTAAACCGTCGCAGGCAAAGCACATTGAGTTATCTATAGTATCTATTGTTCGTTAATTTAATCTTTAACGTCATCAAGTCTTTTTAATACACCATACATACAAAAGGAAGAATAAAAAATAGTCCAATAGTCTTGACTAGATTATTTGGTATAGTCGAATTCTTTTTATTTTACCTGTAACCATCCTCAGCTAATAAGTATCCCAACGGACAAGTGCAGGCAGGTTGTCCATCGTGTGTGGTGATGCATAGCTTTTCGCAATGATCATTAGGTGTGCAGGTGCGCTTGGTTGGACAGTTCTCCTCATCGTCTCCTTTAGGGCAGTCTCTCATGCCGTCACACACGTGCTTCTTGTTCACACAATTCCTGAATACGGAACTGTACATCGACTTACACATGTACTGATCTTGTTCGCAAGACACTTCGCAATTGGTCTCGTCTTCGCCGTTAGTGCAGTCGCTGACGCCGTCGCATAGCCATGTTTTCTGTTTTGTGAAATAATTTCATCACTTATTAACCAAAAACTAAATGCTCTATGTTCTATGAAATTGCATATGTAGAACAATCTTTCACTGACCAGAATACACCTGCGATCAGCACACGTATATTCGTCAACTGTGCAGTTCTTACGGCCGTATGGTTCGCAGGCTGCCTCGTCGTCGCCGTCTGCACAGTCACGTTGCCCGTCGCACCGCCACCGGTCAGGGATGCACTTTCCGTCTGTGCATCTTCAAATACAACGGTAAAATTAAAAAATAAGTCAGAACGCAGGAGACACAAGCGGTTATCTGCATTTTTGTTGCGGTAATTGTTGGGTACATCATACTAAGGATAAAGTCACACCAGATGACTTGCATACTTTTTATATTGTATAAAACATCAGAAGGAAATTATTGTGTTGTAATTATTAGCAAGAATACATGGAATATATGAGAGGCAGTGAGATTTCCGTGACGTAGATAAGTTCGTATAATCTTACTTGAACTCTCCAGTATTACAAGTGCCGGGTAGTGTGGGACAAGCGTCTTCATCAGTCCAGTCGCCGCAGTCGTTGTCGCCATCACATTGGAATTCTTTTCTAACACAATTGTTGTTGTTGCACTGGAACTCGTTTTCCCCGCATTGAAGAAATTCTAGGTCTGTGATAATTTATATTAGTTAGCGTTTGCTTAAATTTTAAATTAATTATCAAAGAAATTTACATGAAAGCTTTCGATGGACAATAGTCGCTTGATATATTTAAATGCATGACCTCATGTTTCACAGTTGCAATTCTTAACCATTTACAAGCCGTATTGACTTGACTATATTTTATGAAATCGCTAAGTTTTTATGAAACATTTAACTAAGTTATCATCCTCATTTGTGAAGAATAAAACAGAATCTATCAAGATTTTTTTCATTTGGTAATATTTAAATTAAAGGTTCCGAGGGCACAAAAAAATGATAAAAGACCATTACGGCATTCAGCTTCATCGGAGTTGTCAGGGCAATCGGGTTCCCTGTCGCAGCGCCAGTGTTTGGCGAGGCACTCCCCAGTGCCGCATCTGAATTGTTTCTCACTGCATCTGTACAACATTTACATTGTCAACCGAATAACTTATAAACCACGATGACTGAATATATCGCTTCGGGGGAAGTACAAATTACAAGACACTTCAGTCTTAAAAATCGGTCAATATTTTTAAATTACAGGAGTTGCCAATAGCATATATGTACTAGCACCTATACTAATATTATTATATAAAGGGGAAGAGTTTGTTTGTTTAAACGCGCTAATGTAAGGAACTACTGGTCAGATTTCAAAAATTCTTTTTTTGTTGGATAGTCCATTTATAGAGGAAGGCTTTAAGCTATATAACATTACGCTGCAACCAATAGGAGCGAAGCGTCAGTGAGAAATATTGCAAAAACGGAGAAAATTAAGATAATCGCGATAGTGTTTCCGACAACCACGCGAATGAAGTCGCGGGCACAGCTAGTATATGAATACATAGTCACTAAGAACATTACTCATCAATCAGTTCGTGTTACATATTAGTCAAAGGTCACGGTTGTCGGGTTTGAGTTGGCACATCCTGTCAGATCAAGAGTTGTCGCATTACCATTAGAATAGACAAAGTGTAAGTACAGGAAGTCTGATGTTATCAATTGGTGTATTAGTTGTGCATACAATTCAATGAATTGTTTTTATTATTTAATTGTAATTTAAATTTAGAAAACGACAAGTAAGAAAACAACAGTAGTAAATAGGCAACATAGAAACAGTACCGCGATATATAAAATCACGAAGTTCTTTAAAATAACTACCTATTTATGTTTAAACTCTTTATTAAAATATGTTTCTATGTAAAGATCGTCGAAAAATATTAAATATTTTGGTAAAAATCCATTTTTTTAATTCTGTCCATCCGCAAGGCCACGTTTCTTCAGGTTAATCTCTAAAACTCTAGACTTTTGATATATCTTTTACTCGATGATTCATGCAGGAGTAACTATGTTTTTTAAGTCAGCGCTGACAAAGTCGCAGGCAACCGTTAGTTATAATCATCATTATCATCAGCTCACTATACGTCCCCACCGAGGGGCTCGGGGCCCTAAGTTAAGGGTGATTAGGCCATAGTGAACCACGCTGGCCAAGTGCGGGTTGGTTGACTTGGTTGACCCCCCTTTTTTTTTTTGAATTTCTTCTCAGATATATGCAGGTTGCATCACGATGTTTTCCTTCACCGTAAGAAAGTCGGATAAATGTACATATGTAAATCGTAAATCGAAAAACACATTGGTACATGGCGGCATTCGAACCAAGGATCTGCAGATTGCAAGTCAAGTGCTTGACCACTGAGCCACCGACGCTCCATTAATAATAATATAAAAGCTTATTATCATAAAGAAATTGATCTCAGAGCTCAATATGAAGCAAGTAAAAATATAAAATATCTAAAAATAACTCCTTTCATAAGTAAAACTCTGAGAATAAAATTACAATACATTATTATTATCGGTAGCATATTTAATGCGTTGAATCCTGACTCCAGTATTTTAGAAACATGAAACAATTTCATGTTAATATTAAAATAACATCGAAATGTATATATGTTATTACAAAGTTATCCCAGATACATTTTGTACTTAATATTTTTCTCTGTATACATAATTTATGACACAAAATAGCCACAATTCTAGACCTAAAGATTGTAGATATTTAGTAGTAAGTATTGAATTATAAATCCTATGATCTTACTAGCAACATTAAAAACGAATTGTCATTTCTTTAGAATCAATTAAATTCTTTATCACTGTACTGTCTTAATTGTCCTTTATACGACATAATCAATAGTGACCTACTTTGGACTAAGGAATAATTTTTATATATATCTAAATATATCAATAGCAATTAGTTACATAATAAATACGATACCGCTACAATTGCTAATATGCTCGGCTGTATGAACGAGTCGCCTACGGAAGTCGGCTATATCAGGGCAGTGCGCGGGCCGAGCGGGCGCGTGGGCGCGTTCCTATGGCGCCCGCTCACCCCGAATACCCTGGCTCACCCCTCCTCCGCAGCCCCGCGACCGCCTGCGCGCCTCCCACTTCGCCAGTATTGATCCCCTAGTTCGCAAGCCCCCGCACAAACTCAACGAGCGAAAAAAGCCAGCCGAGATCCGCTGTATGCAATTTCAGTTTTGCTTACAGAATTTGCTATTACTCTAAAAGATTATTTTAATTAACAACGTTTTAAAACTATGTAAAATTTATAACTACTATTATATCATAGACTGTATCGAGTGAAAATTTTCGATTTTTGTATAAACATGTTTCATCCGTTTGGGAATGAATTTCCAAAAACTGTCGTAATGCTCGCCTAAAAAGTGAAAGATAATTATGTCCAAAACTAGCTGACGCCCGCGACTCCGTCCGCGATGAATTAAAAAATAACATAATTAGTAGCCCATGTTTTCTTCCAGACTATGTTCTATATCTATGCCAAATTTTATCGAGATCCGTTCACCCGTTCTGGAGATACCTTCAAACATTCATCCGTCCATCTAAACATTCGCATTTATAATATTGGTAAGAAGTAAGTAACCCTCATGGATAACGTGAAATTCTAACGAGACTAAAAATAGCGTAGACTGTATTTATATCCATCTATACCTCATTAAATCAGATGGAGCAACTTAAGACGCGGTGAGCACTCACTCTCTCCATACTTGACACTAATCTTTTTGACACGAACATACTCTAGTTGATACTCAATTATTGTACTCATTTATACTGCCATTGATGAAATAAACAGACATTATTGACATTATAATACGTGTCTTCCCAGAATTAAGCTTCTTCCTTCTTTTATCCCTACAACATCAATAGCGTTGGATACCTTTGTTGTGCTTCGGGGCTTTTGTAACAGCATTATAGCGTGTTGTAGAGTTGTGGATCATTAATTTCTACCTGACCAATTTAACTTACACCCATTTCTATAATTTTTAATTTTGTTGTTCTAACATTCTAAAATCTACGTTCTTTACAATCGACACGTAAACATCAGATATTTATAAGTTTTTCGCCTTGAAATAAATAAGTAAATATGCACTAATTTAATAAATATTGAAATGCGTCAAACGCAGTCACTTTCAAAGCGTAACCTCTGCAACTCGAACACTTATCATTTGCGATGTTAATTTATTAGTGCGTGAAGTGACACGTGTCTCTAACACGTGGGGATCCGTGCGACAGCTGGGGGACCCTCAGTGCAATTCATTTCAAGTGTACTGTACTTATCCTTAGTTGACTTCCTAGAACTACTAGCGACTGCCTCCGAATTCGTCTGCGCGGACATAAAAGGAAAGAAATAACCTACTCTAAAAAGTTACTCCCGCGTAATTAAAAAAGGCTTATTTTTACAATACTTCTCCACACATTACTTCCAGTTAAGTCCCATCAAAATCGGTCCAGCTGTTTCGGAGATAACTCCGAACAAACTCGGACTTGCAGGAAGACAGACAGACAAACAAAAATGTAAAAAATTGGATTTTAGTTAAAAGTAACGCAAATATACCACGTCCGTAAACTAAGATTTTTTCGATATTACACACAGATATTCCAATGTAACTATGAAAAACGAAGTAAAAGTTCCAAAAAAATAGTAGGTTGTGAAACGAAGTAGGTTGTATGTGACTCATCAGTGCATATGATGATTTACACGCGCCATCGTGACCTCATCAGCGCCAGCGGAGCGTCGACAACTAGGGGAGAGCAGAGCCCATTAAATGCAATTCCAAGTACTCTAAAGTGTGAACAAGATCATTCGTCTCCCCTGCAGACCCTCATTAAAGTATTCCTAAAAGAAATTACTGCATAGAACATATCGATGAAAATGACTGAAATTTTAACAACACAGTCGTTTTTGTTTTTAGCTGTGTCTCCTTTATTAATTGTAATAAATGCCTAACATGAAATTTCTGATATCCTGTAAAAGACATGCCAGTTATGAGAAAAAATGTTCTAAATGGAAATGTACTTTGAAAAAGGAAAAGTTGGTACTCACTTGCCCTTAGGACAGTTCATTTCGTCAGAGTTGTCGCGACAGTCGTTGTCGCCATCGCACGCCCAATCCTTGTGGATACAGAGGCCATTCGTGCAGGTGAACTTGTCCACGGTACAGTTAAGAGTGCCATCTGTTGACGAACAGGTAGAAATTTATGTTAATTATTTATCGTCCGTACTGGATAAATGTGCAATGTGCTTTCATCGTTTTAAATTACCTTGTTGTACAAATCATTTAATATTCAAAGATTAACTATTTATTATTTAATAGTGTCTTGTTTCCATTAAATAGGCCAAATTGCATGCACATTGATGGTTACTTAGTGTTTTAAATAACAAAGAGGTCACTTAATATAAAGCAGACTATTTCTTTCTTTACTTCCATTGAATCTTTAAAAAATGTACCGCAGTGTGTTTCATCAGAGAAGTCTCCGCAGTCGTTGTCGCCGTCGCAGAGCCATGTCAGCGCGATGCAGACGCCGGTAGCGTGGCACAGGGTGCGGTTGTCGCTTTCGTCGCACGCGCGTGCGCAGCCCTGCTCGTCTTCTGCCTCAGCACACTCGGCGATGCCGTCGCAACGTTTCTCCATTGGGATGCAGGTGCATGATACCTGTACCATAAATAACTATATTTATGGTAAAAGAAAAAGAAAATACTACTTTTCCCCATTTCAATAAGGTAAAGGTGAAATGGGGAAAGCTGAACTGATGTTCAAATTCATTGTAGAATCATCATATTGAATATGACGAGTCTTTGTATCAGTATCGGATGTTACCAAATATTACCTGACAAGAGAAATGATCTGCAGGACAGGGATGGTTGCAGTCGCCGTCATCAGCGTCGTCATCGAAGTCTTCCGCGATAACGTCAGAATCGATGGCCACGTGACGATCTAAACAAATAAATAATTATTACTGCCTGCGATCAAGTCTAATCGTATTAGAATTTGGAGATATATTGCCATTTCTTTTCCGAATTGTAAATTAATTATACTTTACGTGAGCTGTTTGTACTCACGATGCCAGGAGTCAACTCGCGTGTAAGGGCTGTGAGGTCGGAAACCGGGCGGCTGCAGACCCGGCGCTATGCCGACTGCGGGCTGGTAAGGTGCCTGGTAGGGCGGCACGTAAGGCGGTACGCGGCCCACGGAGCGTGTGTCCGCCGGATCAGCTGTCGCGTTTGCCGGCCGTGGTTGAGCCAGCGGTGCAGCTTCTTCACCGCATGCTAATACACACAAATCATTAGGTAACTTATTATAGGAAATTAAAAGACTAAACAAAGAAATTACTGTCGTTACCGATTAATCGTATAAACATCGTAATGATGAAAATAGCAGCCGTTCGAGTCGTTGTATTTTAAAAGGAAGCAAATTAATCCTAGTTCAGTGCTCTATATAAATAAGTTATACAGATTATATCTGTTACTGTCCTGTCACGTGTACATTAAAGCCAAGCGTCTAGCATGCGAACAAATTAGTTACTTGACAATTTATATGGGTTTTTTTTTTCATTTTTAATTGAACTGGCAACAATAGAACAACGTACCGTATATGAATATAAGGGCGGAATAGGTAACGTAGAGTATCTTGAGCGACATTGTTGCTGTGAGGTATCGTTATATCTGGTAAGAGGCGAGGCGTGTAGGCGGTCTAGGTGACCTGCGCGGTGCTGCGCGACACAGACCCACGGAGCTGCATGACGACAAGTTACTTCACCTGTAACAAAATCGAATTTAAATTAAGACAATTAAAACAAAAATTCTTTATAACTACTTAAAATAGCAATATAATAATCAACTTTAAATTGTGTTCCTAAAACAGCTAGGTATATATAGTATACATAAAGACAATACACCTATTTATTTATAAATTTTAAAAATACAAAATGTATGTCAATTATCGAAATATTCTATGGTTATTTTTTAATAAAAATACATATAACTACGAAATATCATGAAAATAATTTTAATGAGTTATGAAAATTTAAGGTCGAGTGAAAACTGACGCGCAATTTTTACAACACGGATACTAATCAAGCAAAGTATTTCCTTTGACATCCAAAACCTTTTAAACATTGCTAACAAAGCACATGAACACGTGAAGTTGAAAGCTCTCTTGCATCCTATCAAAAAGGGGACCAAAACAAAGGCTTTCAAGCAGTGCAGTCAATTAGTTCAATGCAAGGATGACGGGGTGTTTACTGACACGGCAAAATCATGACAAAGTATGTTCCGACGTATCGGGAGCCCAATTATCTTATGTGCCATTAAAAATAAGCTCTTTAGTAACTAGCTAACTGACAAAAATGAATATCCGTATAAACTTAATGGACTATTACAATAAAATTAAATTACAATTAATGGGTATTGTAGAATTAAAAGAGACTTAGGTAATTATGCCAAAAAAATTTTAGAACAATTATACGGTATTTACCATTGGCCCGATCGACCCTATGGGATTCTTTTGCCATTGGACCGATCTCAATCGCATTTTTTAAAAAATCTCCACACAACACCCAATGATATAAATTGTTCACACATGCTGTATTAATCAAGCGAATAGTTAAGGTGTAGAATAATACTCTATTTATTTATATTGTAATCAACAAAACTAAACTAACTTGCTAAATGACTGACATGAAATACGACTAAAATTAATTGGTCGATTATGTTCTACCTTATTAAAAAAAACCAACAGTAAACAATAATGCCTATCGACTTATTTCCATATTAAATTGCTACAAAAAGTTATATGTGTCATTATATATTATGTGTTTAACAAATAATATTTATTAAAGACATTAAATAATGAATTGCAGATAAACTTTAATACAATACAAAATTAAGATAACAAATATATACTGTACGCACCAAAGATAAGAAAATGATCCCCACTTCTATGAATGTCAAACGATACCAAAGCGTAGACTGCAACGTTTCTCAACTGATATATATAACACTGGTCAGCTACAAGAAAGTCCTTATAGACGCCATATTGAAAAAAAAAACATTCAAACTCTCAAAACGCATGCGCCGCGCACTGCCAACTTTACGAGCGACTTGTTGATTCGCTTTTCATTCACTACGCACCATCCCGCGCATTCTACGCAGTTATCCCTAGAAGAAATATCTAGGTCTTTTATCACACAACCTTAAATATATCACAAACAGGACGAACCACCCGATGTAAAGAGTCATCTCTACAAACACTACGACCCATTCAACGAAAAGAGCCTCTTGTGATATCTTTTAATATCTTTCAGTCAGACAATTATACGTAAAATTAACAATAATTATTGAACTTTTAATAAAAAATAATTACTATGAAAATTCTTACGTACAAAAGATATATAAAAATTTAAAAGCACTTACTAACAATGCTAGTTAATGAGATTAACTTGCAATATTCTATTACATTGTTACTGTTTTCTATCTTCTATTAAACTTTATAACACTTCAATATTAGACTAAACTACTTATAGGTTAACATTTGTTATAAATAACAAAATTTGTTATACAAATTAGGTAGTCGCTTACCACCACGACTTAGCGACTTAGCTTAGCGACCACCTAATTTCGCCAAAATGGCGAAGCGACCGCTGTCCATATCCATCCGCATTTGCAGATGTTTTGTGCAGAGGAAAAAACACATAGAAAGCGGACATTTCCCCTACCTATGTGTTTCCTCTTCTGCCAATTGCAAGATAAGTTGAATTTCAAATACGAAGTTCATTATAATATATAGCTATTTATGTTCATAAATCGCTATTAGGTAATGAAGACATTCTGAAGATTAAGCTAGCGTATATGAAACACTGGGATTTTGAATTTATACAAATTTATTTTATATTCTTTTTTTATTTTACTCTCACAAGATGAAAGACGCTCATATTATTATTTAATAGAATTTATGTTCTTTAAGTAACGAATACTTATGAAAACTTATCAATAACAAGTATGTATTAAAGTAACTGGCATAAATTGATTCGTGTCAGGCTCAGTTTATTTTTAGACCGCACCCGCCTCCACAGGGATAGGTACCTTATTAAGATTATAAAGTCGTAGTCGCTATGTGCTTATATTCTATGGTTTGATATATAAAAATATGATAAAATACATCAAATTACAACTAATAAAAAATAAGCACTCTTAACTATTTTAAAATAATAAATAAAACATTGAACAAAACACTTTCATGTACAAAAATGTTCGTATTTTTAATTTAATCCTACCTTACTTCATCTTTTACTATGACTTTTTCTATCACGTTTGAGTCAAACTAAGCATCGATAAAATAAGTTTAAAATAAACACTGTGTATTTATTGAGAATTATAAAAATCACAGCACGACAATATTTGCAGAGTACCTATGAAAATTCAACGATCAATACGGGAGGGGGAGACGTGCGCGATCGCCTACGCCCGCCCCCGCGCGTCTTCCAACCCCGCCCGCCCTTGCTCCCTCAGCTCATGAAACACCGAAACCTAACACCGCTGCCGCCCACGTCTTAGCCAACTATATTATCTACGACGTCAACAGGAAAATATTGAAAGAAATCACTACTTGTGTCGTAACTTACCCATTAAGATAATACGTAGATTTTGAATGTTTCCATTTTAGCATTTTTATAGAAAACTATTCAATGTTAAAATGTTAAATAGATGATGATTCTATTTAGTTATCTCAGTACTTAGTATTGAAAAAGAATGAAATGAAATAAGTCATATATATTAATAAAAAATGTAAAAAAAATTACCTTAATTTTTCAATTTCATTTTCACTAACACGGTAAATCACAATGTAATCAAATGTGTCTAAACACGTTAAACAGTCACATAAGATGTATCATGTAAATACTTTACATTGAAAAACTATATTTTTTTTATTGGCGAGAGCTCACGAGATGTGTTCTCGTCGCCCGCTCGGCTGGGTACTAGGTTATCTGGAAGGCGCCCCGTCCTTTCCCTTCCCCCCGTCTCACGCGAGCCCCGCGCAGTCTGTCGGCGATGAATGGAGAACTCCCACCCCTCCATACCTATATAACTCCCTTAACTCGCCTACATTTGTATCAGCTACTCAGAATAACACTCGATGGAAATAGACGAATTGCTTATAAATATAGTGGTATAAATTTTACATCTTAAACCTACCCACGACTAACTGTTATTCACTTTTCATTCCCGACATATAAAGGTCACATAGACACTTTGTTTAGTTTTATTTTAATTTTATTAAGTCGATTCCAATAATTTGATCTGGACAAAAAATATTATAGTTACTTAAGTAGTTTTTGTGATAAAAACTGTATTAACATCAATTGTCATCCATTTAGTGTGATAAAAATTGATGTAAAATTTATTTTACTTTATCTACTTTATAGTTATAATTTACTAATAATGAACAAATTAAGAGATTAAAAAATAGGTGATAAATTACCCAATTTACATCAAATAAAATTATTCACAAAAACGTAAAAACATTCAAAAAGAAAATTTATTGTGAAGGTACCATTTAAGACCATAAAAATAGAACAGTCGAGATCAACGACATCCCGTATTATTATCAAAAACGTGAAGCATTTGTAATATAATGAAACAGGCCGGAGCTCTACGAATAAGGCTACGCTGTTTTCGAGATTGTTTTTAAATTCTCACATAGATGTCGCTATTAATATACTCTCATACCCCTGCTGATTTTTTAAAAGGTTGAAGATTTTATACATATTTTTAAAAGCTACTTTATACTACAGTACGCTAACGAGATAACAAAGTGTCAGATAAAAATATTTCATGTTAGGCAAGTTAATATTTAACAATAATTATTCAACAGTTTCAAGTAACTCAAAAGTTTTATTCTTTGGTTCACTTGTTTATTCGCAAGACTTTTCTACAAACAGAGTATTGTTGCCAGTCTCTAACAAGTTTAAACAGAACCATAAACACTTGACATTGGACCAATCCGATGAGGGTGAGCCATAAACAAGAAACAGAACAGAACAAAATTTATATTTAAAAACAAAGAAAAAGTCTTTTACAATCATATTTATTTTTACACTTAAATTTATAGTAACTTTGGCTCCCATGAATTGATAATACTTCAATTTCAACTTAAATACAGGACATGATTATATACAATGAATCATTTTACATTTTAAAACTTCAACATACTTTGTTTTTTTTTTACTTGTACATGAAGTTAAAATATTTTATTTTCTACGATAAGTAACACGTGTACCTACGATATAGCTTTGCCTAATAGGTTCTCTCATTTACAATCTCACTAATTTAGGTAGATTGCGAATTATATGGATAAGCTTAGAAGGAAAAAATATTGACAAATTATAAGTTTTTGATCCCATATGTAAATAGATATACTTAATTTTACAGCGAACAATTCTTTGTATCTAACATAAATATCTAAATACCTATTGAACTGACCTACTCTGAAATATTGCATTTCCTTTTATCTATGCTGGTACAATAATGATTATTACTTTGTATATCTATATTATATATCTACTCTAAAAACATATAATATACTAAATAAAATCTAACTCTAATCTTTTAATTATTATTAACAACAGTAAAGCGATTTAATTCTTTGGCAGTATCAGAAAAGTTTAAATTACATACAGACTACGATAAAATAACGAACATTTTATTTGTCGAAATAAAAACTTTGGCACAAAACTACTCAGGACAGAGCTACATAGAATTATATGTTACATATATTTTATAATGATTTATACTTACTAAATACATTAATATGCTACCATATATTACTGTTATTTGGCACTTTAAATAAAGATATATACACATATCTATTCATACTATCGTATTTTTTGGTATTCCAACGGTCATTTTCTTTATATTGTCATATTATACATAATTTGTATATTAGAATATCCGAGAATAAACGATTTCAGTTCCCGTCTAGTTAATTGGGGCTGTAGTTTTAACTATTGTTAAAAAAGATAAAAGATTTGTTTATTAATTGCAAATAATATTTAACTACTTACAATTATATCTTGTCATCTCAATGAACCTTTATTACTTATTTTAATAAATTATAATAAATTTAATATCGGAAATTGATTTCTCGATTTCTTTCTCAATCAAAAATATAAAATACCCAATAAACAGTATTAAATATAAGGAAGCAGATGGGAAAGATGACTCTAGAATAAGTGTCGATGACGTTGACGTCTCGGATCTTCGGCATGGAGGCTTTGATGACGGTCGCTCCGCGGCGAAGCGCGTGGATCACCTTCGGCTTGCCAGTTGCTCCGTCTGAATATGTTACAACATATCAAAAATTAAGAAGTGATTGATGACTGAAAAGACGAATTATAAATCGATTAAGAAGACAAGAAAAAACTGGAGTAGAAAGTATAGAAGGTTTTTTGAAAGCGAGGATTAATTGAGGGCATTGGCATATAAATCGTCACACCTTAATTCTGTACGGCCATGATAATTCATTACCATTTCAAAATTAATGAGAACAATAAGGACAGTTTCAGATATAGTCAGAATGAAAAATGAATTCCTGGAAACTTACTCCTGGAGTTTCTGGAATGAGGCCTTGTGCGGTAGCGCAGGTGTGTGTGGTCACGCTGCAGGCGCAGTGAAGGCGGAGCGCCTGCAACCGGCGGCAGCGGGCGCGTGCGCAGCCCCAGCAGTGGCGACACCCGCCCCGCGCTCGAGCATTCGCGCAGCGCTATGATTTCCTCATGGCTATGAGACCCTAAGATATCAGATAGTTCAATTCAATATAAAGAACAGTTTCTTTGCTATGAATAGTTTTAAGTATTAATTTAAAATTAACTATTTCCGTTCTTTGTTAATTCATTGTGAATGATATTCGTAATCATGTTTTTAGAGAGCTGTCGTACAGCTAGATGGCGTTAGTGTGTGAAGACTTTTTATTGACTCTGGAACTTACCACTGGAGCATTTAATATCTTTCTCCATGCTGGTGCTGCTGGACATTTGTTCGCGGTTCTTTAACTTGGCGCGTTTTCTTGCGCGCGCGCCCCAGTACGTATAATTGACGGCGGCGTACTCGAGCAGTGCGGCGAAGACAAACACGAAGCACATCACCAAATAGATGTCGATGGCCTTCACATACGAAATGCGCGGAAGGCTACTGCGCACGCCCGTGCTTATTGTAGTCATTGTTAGTACCGTCGTTATACCTGAGAAGTTTAATATGGATTTTTATGTCAACATTGCAAATAAAAATGAGTTCGCTTATTTGGAATTTTTCGGTGCATGGTCAAAAAGGTGAAACTCAATTCCTCCCTTGAAAAGGTATTTTTTCAAGTAACCACATATCTTAATAATGTTTGTTTAATCTTAAAATAACTAGACATTTTATATTACTAACCTAACGCAACTCGCGCAGACGTAGCCTCGTGATTGATCCAGAAAGAGACCCATGACAGCATCACTATGAGAATGCTTGGTAGGTAAGTTTGGAACACGAAGTAGCCTATGTTTCTGCGGAGCTTGAAACTTAGCGACAAGCGTTGGTACACGCCAGTTGCTAACTTTTCCTGGAATGTATAGAATTTAATGGGCAGGCGTACTATGAAAACAATTTTGAGGAATTAGCTGTTGAAACTAATAGAACCGACTCGTATGTAGTCAAAAATACTTCTTTAAAGAATACTATGAAAATCGTGAAAAAAATATGTTTATGACAAACAAAATAAAAATTCTTTTTCGTGGCATATACGAGTAAAACCTTGTAAACGTATGTATATATATGTATATCCTTATGCCACGTTAGTCTGTGGATTCAGAGCACCGCACCCTTAGCTAGGCTGCCTAGCCATAAAAGTACTTAAATTTCGATCGTTATCAATTGGGTATTATGAGCTTACCTTTCTATCATTAGTCTCATATCCGAGTATAGAAAACTGCGGCAGTTCCGCGTCCTCCACACCGCGCACTGGTGTCTCCTTCCAGTACATCACCACGTCTGACACCGTGTACCCATCTGCATCCGAATTGCTTCGTTAGCATTACATAACAAAGACCACAGAGAACATAGATTCTAATTTCATGTCTACACTGGTGCGGTTTACAATGAGCGCGGATGTGCCGTGAGCATTTACACTGTTTACTACCAAATGTCTACTAATTATTTTACCTTTATTTTAATTAGAGACATATTTCTTTCTTTACCCTCTATCTTCAAGATTTCCCCGCTGGTGTGACTTGAGATGGAAGGCATTTAATACTGTATTAATATTTTACTATATTGATAAAAAAGAACTTTTATATCGAATCCAAAATCTTTTCAGTTTCCCAAGTACTATACAATAAGCTAAGTTTAGCTAAGGTATGAGAGTAATGTATGAAGATGTATGGAGTCACACAGCTTTCAATCTCGACGGTGCAGTTCTGGCTGTCGAGGGGGTAGTAGTGAAGGTCCATCATGCAGGCCAGTGTTGCGGTGAAGCGCATGCCGTACGTGATCCCGCCCTCGCCGCACAAACGCACCAGCTTGTTGCGCTCCGTCACGTCGTGCAGGAAACTGAAAACAATGCACACAAATCTGAGCGAAACATCTTTGTTTATAACCAATATTTGTAATTTTTATCATCTTTAATCAATTCGGTTCAATACTGATAACACAACGAATCAACGTAAAAACGAAATTTAGAAATAAAGGTATTTTGGTGATATTATTTTCAAATAAACAGTAATCTTACCTTTGTCAGTTGATAACATTTAAAAATGTTTGTAACTCTTGTTAATTGTACTCCACAACTAAAAAGTTTATCAAGTTAATCTACCCGAACTATCAAATTGCCATTAGAATATTATCAATATGAAACAGGATTGAAAATAATATAATCGTAAAAGTACGCCATGTATTTTACTTGCCTATTTTTGTCGTTAGCAAAGAAAGTGTCGGGCACCCAGATCTTATCAGCGAAGTCTCCTGACAAGGTCAGAACCTCGTCCGACAAGCCGAACGCGAGACGTTCGTCCTTCCAGTATTGGTTCAAATAGAGTGTTATTGTGTAATCCTGCAAAATTAATAAGTAATGTTCATTCCTAAATACCATAGCATTTAATATACATATTAAAATAATTAATGTTAAGAAATATAGTAATGAAGTTTGGAATTACTAACGATCGGTTTTTATTTTGCGGCACTCATTAATAAGCCCTCAGAGTCATAATTATGCTAAGATAAAACCAACCTTACGCCTTATGTTTATACATATTTTAAGGTACCTATACATTATTTGCTTTCTCCAACTATCGCATTTAAAATAGCTGACTTTATTAATTAAGCGAATTCTGTTATGTTAGCTAATTATTAAAACCTGACTAAACAAAAGATTAGATTAGATAGACACCTCTAGAAACTTCAAGTTCATATCTCACGTTGCTATGTTTTAAGATTTATAGCAGATAAATGGAATCTTCAACATTTATTTTTACTTTATACCTTATCATTTTTGTATCTCTGTCATCCCATTCTTTTTGGTTACAGAGTAGTAATTTGCTACCATGTTTATTGCACAGGAGCTAGTCAAAATTACTGATATTTAGTAGACATATCCTTCGTTATATAGGGACATGTCAAACGGTACTCAGATACTTTAGTAATCTATGAAATATGTACTTATGTTCTTCAAGAAAACTTTGAACATATTCCGAAGGATCTAGCATCCTTTAAACTGAAGAAGCTCTAGATAGGTTAATGAATTAATTTTCGTTGACAAGGGAGCGAGTGGATGTCGACCTCTCGGTGGTAGCGTCAAAGTAAAGACGTTCGATTGGCTGACGCGGCGGTCACCGGCAACCATGTCAAGTGGCCGGCCTTGCTCTCTTTTTGAAGCTATTAAAAGCATAATGAATTACAGCGATCGACTCGACAATGCGGAATTTTTTCACACGACCTCAAAAATCTTACATGGAGATTTACATATGGTCGAAATTGTTTCAAACGTGTCTGGAGCTCGGAAAAAGGCCGCAGACACGCTCAATGTCAACAGAATTGATGATTCAGCGAAACAGAAACTCTCTGAACTAAAGATAAGTTATGAAATGCATTTCTTGGATGCCTCTTGTGATAGATAATTTCGTATCTGCTTGCGACAGTGAGTGTATGATTTGAAATAGGTTGTTCAAGTTTCTCTACCTTAAGCTTACCACGCCGATGAACTTGTAGTATATCCCGCACTGCAATACCTGACTTAGTAAATAAAAGCTCCCTAATGCCGAAGCAATTTAGTTTAGCTTATGTCTTACTTAGTGCTGCAGTTATATCGTACACCGTCTCAGATCTATCTCCCACGTATCTCAGTAATATTATAAATTAAATTCCATACCGGGCATATGTCAATTATAACATTGTGTAACTATATGATGTTTGCTTTTAGCAAATTTATAAATAGTGTACTGAAATAAAAAAGACGGGTCGTTCTTTTAAATACTTCCCTCAGTCTTACTTCTTACTAATATAATAAACGCGAATGATTGCATGGATAAATGGGTGGTTGTTTGTTTGAAGATATCTCCAGTATAGCTTCATGGATTACGCTGATATTTGGCATAGACGTAGAACATAGTCTGGAAGAACACATAGGCTACTTATTTAGTTTTTTTTTTTTAATATCGTGTGTAAAAATTTACTAAAAGCAAAAAGTAAAATAATAGAAACTAGATAACATTCACTCACCATATTGACCTCGGAAATAGCGTCGAAACTGGCGATCGTTAGGTCCATGCCGACGTAGAGCGGATCGCCTAAAACCAATAACATTTTATGCAACTCAAACTGAGACCGCCACATGCTAGATGTACGTAAGACCAACTAAACTGAGGATTTACAAAATATTTACGAAACAAATTCAATATCTAATGTTTGAGCTCCCATAGCCCAAAATATCGAAGCGCAACTCAGATGTTGCAGTGGAAGAATCATTGAAAGAAACATACATAAATGATGATCTTATATTGATAATGGAAGATGCGTGTAACTGCAAGTTTACACTATGGAAACACTTGTACAATAACATGTTGTCAATCATTTCCCTCGAAAAAAACTGTGATAAAACTGTAAATTTGCGTGGTTGTTTCGGCAGTGTAAACTAACGGTAATGTGACTCTTTTTTGTTACTAATTCTTACCTCCGAAGTTCGGTCGCAGGCGTATGTCGTAGCCGTCCAGGATGCGGGACACGGTGTGCGTTACGTTCTCCAACCTGTCCACAGTCACCGCACGCTCCAACCTGACAAAACAGCAGATACCTTCAATAACAATCTAATTAATAATTGAATACTTAATTCATTTAAAATCAATAAGTTAAATTGCGAAAAACGCACTAGAAATTTTAAACCACATCACTCTACAAAATCAAACTGTTTAGTAAAAAAATATTGTGTAGTAAAATTTTACTAATATTATAAATGAGCATGTAGGAATGGAAGGATGTTTTCTTGTAATTCCATGAAAAATGTATGCATGGATCTTGCTGAAATATGTTATAGGTAAAGATCATATTTTGAAAGAACACATATGCTACTCATAAAGTTTTTTTTAATTGGCTGCGGACGGAGTCGCGGACTACAGCTAGTTTTATTTATTTGTTGAAATGTGTTTAGTAAGTTTCATACAGATGTTGTGAAATGTTCCCTCATATAATTTACGTAAAAAATGCTAACATGCCAAAGCCCAAATGAAAACATCTGTTCCAAATTTCAATTCAATAGATTCCGCACAACCGTATGCGTCACATCCTGTCCCATATCATAAAGATACTCCTACATATATACATCGGTAGCTTTCGCCCGCGACTCTTAGCCTTTGTGTTTTTCCAGATTATGTTCTATTTCTATGCCAAATTTCAGGTTGATCCATACTGCCGTTTTGGAGATACCTTCAGACAAACAACTATCCATCTAAACATTCGCATTTATAATATTAGTAAGAAGTAAGGTTACCCACAGAAATAACTCTAACCGTATTTATATTGCATTTTAATGCGAAGTATATAATTGTAATTACGAAGTCGTTCAGAATAATGTGCTCCAATTCATATTTATCTCGTACCTTGTGACCATTAGTAGTTATTAGCCCGTACAATCAGTCACTTTGAGGATGCAATCTTGCATTCCCTAAGGTATTTTTTTGTTTCGTTTTCCTCTCTCAGAGAAAATTGCTATTGAAAGACCCACTATCATGCCGCAATGATATTTTTTATAAAGTATTAGCTGTCGCCCGCGACTTCGTCCGCGTGGGATTAAAAATAGATGTTGGCCGATTCTCAGACCTACTCAATATGCTCACAAAATTTCATGAGAATCGGTCAAGCCGTTTCGGAGGAGTATGGGAACGAAAATTGTGGCACGAGAATTTTAAATATAAAATAAAAAAGGTATATAATATTTATGCATACAATCTTCTTCAAGTTTACTTTTAAATATGGTTTATATACTTCCACAATTTGTAATGAAAACAGAAAGTAAATACAACCACCTTTTTGTTATTTATCGGTCGAATAAGACTTTTAATTTTATTTAATAGTATATAACTCATAATGTACTCACAAAATATTTCAGTAACATATTATTTAGTATGTTTGATTTTATTATTTCTTAGATTTACTAACACTTATGTAAGTAAATTTTACATAACACAAATGCAAAATATAACAATTAGTAAGTAATAAATACTTGGCTTATTTTATTACGACTGTTTTCGTAATAAAAGAATTTCTCTTTTACATGCTTTAAGTTCAAGATTTTTTGCCGCTTGCCGTCGGCCGTCGGAAAGTTGTGCGCATCTGATATCAAAAATGAACTAAATTAATTATGGTTAATTTTTCAATAATATTAATAATTTTTTTTTACATGATCAAAAAATATGATTCAAATTTTTTTTTTCATTTTTTGATTGGGTATTTTGGACGATTTTCAAAGACCATTTTCCAGGTGTACCAAACTTATAGAAAATTGTATATTTATTTCTGTGAAAGCTTACAAAAGCTTTACTCATAACTCTATTTATTTATTTACTTAATTTATTTAATACACTTATATAAAATAAAAATAAATATATTATATTTTCTTAACTTAAAAAGAACTAATAAACTTCAAGCTTTAAAACACTTTTTAAACTTTTATTAAAGTTACCAATATTGATTTGTTTTATAATTATTGAGTCGTAAAATAAATGGAATAAAAAAATGAATAAAAGAAAATTTTACAACTTACTGCGCTTGTGTTAATGTCAACACAAGGGGAATCATAACTCTCGCGAACAAATTCTTTATAAGATGATGGAAACGCGCGCGATTCGTGCAATGCGCGGTCATTGCTCTACGAAAACCTTTGCTCCTGACCACATGCCCACCACCGAACATCACACAGTACCACTAGCATAACTTAACATGAAACTTTTCTACTCTACAATGAACCAGTACTGCTACTAGCATACTTCACGTAAAACTTTAACGAAGTTTGTAAAACGCGGTTCGCTTGCCTCGGCGTGAGCGGTCCCGTCGACCGCGAAGCCTCGAGTGATGTCGCGCGTGCGCCATTCACACAAAGCTTACACTACACAATTTTTAAGTTGTACCAAGTTACGTCCCGCCCAAATCCCAACTCTACAAATACTATAAGCTACTTAACATATTCAAGATGCTTAGGAAAATATTGAAAAGTGTATTCAAAGAAGTTTTACTTCAACTATGTTATATTCAAATCCTAAATTCATATTGAATATTTGCTTAAATTCTACAGTAAAATACTTACGGATAAAACTATCTCAACTACATTTTTCTGCATTTTCTTTTCAAAAGTCGCTTCTCTTTTTTCAATTTATTCTAGTCAGACATAGCTTCTTCTTTTTATCTAACTTATTCAATTTTAAAAGCAGGCATCGTAATACAAAACGCAAAAACTCAAAGTCCAATAAACGAAAATTCCCGAGCGATAGAAGTAGTCTTGTCTTTGATCCCAAAACAAAATTTCTCCAATTTCAATATCTAGACTAGAACCCTTTAAACGAAGTAATTTTTCAACAGAATATTTAAAGCTAACGTAAATACGTAAATTAATTTTAAAACTGTTATAAAAATAACTGCGGGCAATATTGTAAGTGTTTGATAGATATCAAATTTTTGCTTCATTATTAATTTTATATGAAAATAAGTTATTCGCAAACCTGAGCCGCAATAACTTATTAAGCTGGGATTACGTTTTCCTCATTACGGAACTATGCAAACATTGTTGCGTTAATATAACTTTAGTTTCATTAATCGATTCAATGTAAATGGTTCATGAAAAATTAATTGTGAATTTTGGCCTTTTGTTTTCGAAATTATTTTATACACGATAGAAGTTTATGCAACTTTAATTTTAAAAGTAAACATCAGCGCTTAATTTAGATTTATGCACTAATGGTGCAGTGGTTAGCTTTTGATAATATTAAGGGAATTCGAATCCCGATAAGGCTTCGTTTAACTTTTGGTTTATGAATTGTAACATATTATCGTAAGTAGTAAAATCTACTTAACTTATTTTCAAATCTACTCAAAGAAATGAATGTAATTTCTCACGTTAACATTAAGTAAAAAACAACTTAATATTAATCTAATATTTTTATGATTTCTTTCGAATCACTTAAAAACCCTTTGCTGCTTACGATTCTATAAGATTCAATAAATCTTGGGCTTATTTACAAAAAGATTTTAAAGATAGTTCGATATATCGCATGATTTGAGTGGAAGTGGCAATGCCGGGTGCGGCGGGAGACGGCAACGTGCTCACCTACGGATGTTATTTGTCGGCGTCGAGAGCGTCCGCCTTCAGATTAGCCAAAACGCATACCCATCTACAACTATACATACATTCTCATATACCTCTGGTCATATGTATACTTCAAATCATCCATGCTATAGAAATGTATATTTCGTTTCAAAAATATATTAGCATTCTTTTTATTATTTTACTTACTAAAGAGATTATGGTTTGATGTTTCAACAATTAATGGTTTCTATTTTTAGTAATTATGAAATTAACCAAGTGTTTCAAGATACAAAAATTTATAAATCAGTCATTAACGAAGGATATTTCAGGAAAGGTTTTCGTACAAAATCGTTATATAAATTATACAAACGAATAGTTTTAAACCCTTTTTCCACTAAACATTGTATTAATATTAAAGATTATTTTTATTATATGTCAGATATGTTTCTAACTCCGGTCTGTTTGATTCCATCCCTTCCACATCAGTAGTCGCACATGTTATAAGGACATCGAATTTCATTTCGATTCTGTGACTCCGTCATATTATATTCCGACGCGTAGGTTAACGAGTACAAAACAATATCATTGTTAGTAAGAATTTTTTGCGAAACGACGTGACAAATAATGTAATTTCTGTTCATGGTTAGAAATGATAAATTAAAGTTTTGATTGACACAAAATTAATTTGACTTTTTTTAAGAAAAGAACTAGTGATTGACAATGATTTCTGTGTGGCTTTACTTTTAAATTACTTCCAATGGAATAAATATAAAATTGTTAAAGTAATTCAAAGAAATAATCCTACAAACTTATTTATCCTTATAATTATTACTTTACTACATCGATTAAAATTCGCTAGATAATCGTAACTTAAAAAAGGCAAGTTTCTAAACACTAACAAAATAAGTAAAATATTAAATAAATCGACATAATTCTTTGAATTTGAATTACGTATCGAAGAATAAATTTACTGATAAGTACCACAACAAAGTAATGTATAACTTTACAAGGCCATTTAACAAGCGAATGAAATCGTAAGTTCCCGTAGGCGCGTAGGCACGTAAGGCGCCGTAATGACGGTAATTTAAAGTAAACGGCGGGTGAGGGCGCCAGACGATTTGAAGCATCACTGATTCTAAGGTGATAATAGATAGGCCTATATTTGTGGTAAATTTTGATTGTATAAATGTTATTTTGAAATGAGGTTCTCTTTTACAATTTTTTTAAGAAACTCAATAACATCTTTAGTTCTGTAGGTTTGTGATTCTTGATTTTTTTTTAATTAGTTTGGTTATAATACATATACCTTTTCTACAACCTTTATTAACCTATAGTAACGTCACATCGGTCGATACATTGTTAATGTTTCAGAGTTTTACTCATTATTTAAAAATCTTATTTCAATTTCCGGTATCCGGCTCTTAAGATATACCTTCAAAGTTTCATTGACAATCGATAAGTAATCAACAACATCTAACACCTTCTTAATAGCACATCGAAGCGGTTACTAAGTTTGCAAAAGCAATTTGTATGCGCACACTGTTACACGCCGTAGCACAATTCGTAGCACTTTGTAGCATCTTATGTTCAACGGTATTTAGAGTTAGTTTATGTATGGTGTCATTTAGTTGCAAATAATGTTGTGTTGGGCAAAAACAGTTCATACGATATTGTTGCAAATATTTAGTTACCTTTGTCCGCTTTTTTCATCTCATTTCAGACAACAAAAATTTAAGTTTTTAAAAATACGAGGGATTTGAACAATATTTAAAAAAGAATAAACACTTGCGAGTATATAGTTTTTAATAGGTAACTAAAATGTTTAATAGCATTTATATAATTAAAGTCCTCGTTACTTTATAGCAGCGACGCGAAATAACGAAGGGACCTTCCTTTTTGAATTAAGTTTAACTTCTAAATGTTTTGCATTTTATGTAATTTATCATGTTTAGATATTCAAATTAAAAAAAAAAAACTTTAACGGTACATCCAAAAAATTGTAACAAATTAAAAAAAGATTTTACGAGCTTTTATGCTTTACATTGAAACATAATAATGACATTTCATTTATTTCATCTGCGCATAAAATATATGTATGACAGGGTAATAACATATGTGGGTGGGTTTTCATTAATATTTATGAGATAGACCTAAATAGGAAAATAGCTAGGCTTTTGGAATAATAACAATATTAGGGTCCATTCGCACATACCATTGAGGAATAAAATACCTACTTGAGAAAATGTGGTCATTTGGAAAGCGTTTGTTTATGCGCTCACAAAGTTACCAGGGTCCTTTCAAAATGTATTCAATGTTAACTATGCGAGTAACGCGAGTGACATTGCTGGCCTTGTTTTGCAAGGAGCATACCTGTTTCTTGTAACATAATTATCTTTACCTGAATAATAGGTACTTATATCTAGTTTATTAATATAGAAGAACGCATTTTACTTTACTAAAGTATGTAGATAATATTATCACAATCACAAGTTTCACTACAATTTTTTACGATCATCTATATTTATAAAAGAAAGTCGTGATAGTTACACTATTTGTTATAAACAAGAATGCCTTTACCGATATGGCTGAAAATTGGTGAGGAGGTAGCTTAGAGCCAGGAGACGGACATAGAATGCTATTTATTCTTTTTTTCGAATTTATGCCTTTTTATTTAATTTACTAATATTATAAATGCGAATGTTTAGATGGATCTGAAGTGGATGGATACATGGGTGTTTGAAGATATCTCTAGAACGGCCGAACGGATCTTGATTAAATTGGGCATAGGTATAGAACATAGTCTGAAAGAACACATAGTCTACACTAATTAATTTTTTTTTATATATCCACGCGGACGGAGTCGCGGGCGATAGCCAGTTTTTAATAAAAATTAAAATAAAGTTTCAAGTTCTGTGATAACTAGAAATAAAATATGGAAGATACGATAAGATTACCCTTTCAATCAATCATCTCATGAATTTTCATTTAAACAAAACTTTTTAATCTTTTCCTTGTTCGAAAAGCTTCGTCTCAATTGCCTTTGCCTTGAAATATCATCAATTGTTACCACTTTTAAAATAGAATTCAGAGATCTTGTAATCTTCGACAAAAAGAAAGGAATCAAGACAGAATAAAAAAAATAAACTTTGTACTTTATAACATACTTTTAAATGTGTATACTCATCTCTCGAATCAAACCGTTAAAACAATGAAACTACCAATTCAACGCGTTTACATATTATACATCAGCGGTTAATAAGATTCGTCCAAATCGCAAATATCACTCAACGGATTGAGAATTTCCATTACGTTGTGAGAAGCAAGCGATTCAACAAGCAAACCTATTGCCGTGGGGAGAGGATTATTTCCCCCGTTGCTTATTAGTAGTACTAACTGATTAGAGCTTATCATTTTCTGTAGTAAATATCCTAACCAATTTTCAGCTAAAAATTTTTGCATGCTGCATTTTCCACGAGACCAATAAAATAAAATTGACTCCAACATATAGTACAAATAATCTCTTAATCCAATTAATATAATTTCATAAAACAATACATTTTTTAATCAATACAATAAATACCACGGAGGTTATATTAATGTTACTTATGTAAAAAAGAATAAGAAATGCGTCTTTATGATAAACTTCAGAGATGTTTCGCGGTATTTTGTTATCTACGTGTAATCATCGTGGAGTGTGCTACGAGCTACGCATGCGTAGAGGCGCACTGTCTTCGTAGCTGTTGGCTTGTCGCGCGGGCCGGAGCGGACGAACCGCCTACAGTGCTACCACACACGCGGCTAATAAACTTATAAGTCGGACATCCCTTAGCAAACATTTTAACAATGACCGATTTAAAATTCATCACTGCAACTTTAGGAGTTTTATTGGGGTAAGTTGTATAATTTTTAATAACTTTTGTATTGTTTACTTGTTTTTATTGGCTACCACAATTTAAAAGTATTGTTAGAATCTAAAATAGATATTGAAACAAAAATATTGAGGTCCGTTTTTAAGACAAAAAAGAAGTAAAATTCAATTTGTCATTTTAATAGAGCTTTCATCGTAGAGCTGCAAAAAAGATTAAACAATATCATGTTCCTTTTATCTTCTCGAGTTTTCTCTAACCTAATAAATAATGCAGGATTCTTTAACAAGTTTCAATTCGTTATTGTCGGTATTGTAATTTTAAAACAGACCCGATTGGTATTTAATATTTATGACGCCCTTGAAACTAGATTGTTGAAAATCTATTTATAGAACAGTTTTTAAGTTAATACATTTTTCCAAACAAAATATAAGTTATAGTTTCTTACTTTATAGAGACTTTTACATCACATTTAATTTTTCCATTATTGTACATATGTATATGCATTGTGTTGAACTTTGACGAGTATGTACAAGTAGTTTTTTTTAGGATTTTGAAATGGTGTAATTACATAACCCTGACGGAATATCCATTGATAAGATTATAATCTGGTACGAAGTTTGGTTATAATCCACGCATATATGTATGTCTATTGAACTCTTTTTAAAGAGCTATTTTTGGTGTAAAAATATATACATATGTACTTTTCCATATGTATGCTATATTACGCCTCAAAAGTTCAAGTCATATTCCCAAACATTTTTTCTGTATCTGATCAACCTCAAAGATCTTTTTTAAAGATTGAAAAACGTACTCGGATGCGGTTTTACTCTTTTACATTTCGATTTATTAGAATCCCAATATTTGTAACTAAAGAGTGCTTCTGGTCTACATCTTAGAAGTTTATCTATTAAACTTACTGTTTTTTTTCTTTAATAAATATTGATGACTTTAATTTGTTCCGAATACTTGATTGAACATACTAACGGTTCGATTATATGTACAGTCAGCTGCAAAAATATATATTTAAAATTACATTAAAAAAACTTTAAAAACTTGTATATTCCTTCGATTTTAAAAATACGTAAGCATGTATTTTTCATTAACATATATCCGTGGCCTGAAGTATATAGACGGGTACACTTTTCTAAACCCAAGGCGTGTATAACTTTCTAAAGCTTTGTAAATGTATAGATATTTATGTAGCTGACTGTACATAATCGATCGCTATAAAATGTTTACCCTTTCACAAGTAAATGTAGTGATTTGTTTATGTCAATATTGAAAGGTTGATATACATTTGTGTTTACATCGCTCCGTACCCGTCGCATGGCTTCCTGCCTCCTCCGGCGGCCACAATACACGTGATAGATTACGTTCGGTACATTATTGTAATACGAAACTCAGTGTCATAGCTTACTCAGATTCATTTGGAATTAAATAAACTTTAAATTATATTAGTATAATCTTCTTATATATAAAATTCTCGTGTCACAATTTTCATTTCCATACTCCTCCGAAACGGCTTGACCGATTCTCATGAAATTTTGTGAGCATATTGAGTAGGTCTGAGAATCGGCTACTATCTATTTTTTAATACCACGCGGACAGAGTCGCGGGCTACAGCTAGTATATTATATTAATGTTACTCCTTTATATACAACTAGTAAAATTGGGAACAAACTGCACGTTAAATAAAGTTTTTATTTGCAATAACAAATCTAGGTATTGAAAATTTTAGACCTCCTGTCCTTAGTCTTTATTAATTATTTTTTTATAAACTAATTAGACTCTTTTGTTCCGTGAAAATGCACTAATTACGTTCACATTCATAAATATTATTTTCCTAACATAAAGAAAAGAAAATATCTATCTTGGATGTCGTTGAACATCAATATTTCCTCGTTTAGTTGCTATTTCCGAAAAGTATAATTGTATCATTTTTCTAAAGCAAAAAAGGGTTAAAGCAAATAAATATATATAAACTTATGAAATCACTGAGTAAAGTTCACTTTGAGAGAATTTGCTCGAATAGGAAATGATTTTTCTATTTGAGTTATCCTACACGGGTGACTGATTACGCGAAAAAGTTTGCTTTTTCAAATGACTATTAGCTACTACGTATATTTGCGTACCATTTTGTTTCTTTAATTATAGTGACAATTTATCCTTTTACATTTTAATGTGAGATAGTAGAATTATAAGGAAACATTTGTTTATTGTATTGCATTTTAACATTCAAATGTTTAAATAGTAGTAGTAGTTTTAATACTAGTGCGGTCATTAACATATACGTTTCCGTTTGATTAAAAAATGGTAGAGATTAAAGTGTTTTGGATAAGCAACAAATGGTCGAATTATAAAATAAAAACGAAATTAATATTGACATTTCTAGAACCGTTTTATGGAAAAATGGTCAGACGGCGGGAGTTAATTCAATAGTATAAAAACTTTTTAAGACATTTGTATCACTTTTTTTATCTTGATAATTGGTTAAAAAAAATATCAGCTTTCAATTGCTTTTTTAATATTATCGCGCTGTGATCAAAGACACTTTGACTGGAAACTGTCCAATGTTGACTTTACTAGTAAGGTTCCCGATTGAATTTCGAGAACGTTCACAAATATATCTGTTACTCTGTGGATATCTCTACTTTAACTGAGGAGTTACATTTGTTAAATTGTAGAAAAAATATTACCATAAACACTTGACATTGGCCCAATCCGATGAGGGAGAGCCATAAACAAGAAACAGAACAGAACAGAACAAAAAATATTTTAATGTGAAAAAAAAATTACAAAATAACTTTTAATATGAACAAAAAATTATAATAAATGTCTATAGTAACATAATCCAACCCAACGATTTACTGTTAACTTGTAAATTTTGAAGAGCAAATGTAGCGAAGTCTGGGAAGGCCTTCTTGTAAATACCTCCGCCGTGAAAAGGGTCGACACTTCGGAGAGGTATAGACATCGTTGGAAAGATAAGCACGTAGTAGATACGAATTGAGACTTATAATACATTTTTAAATTCGTATGCAACGTAAGAAACCTGGACTTTTATTGGTCAATAATAAGCATACCATTTAAAGATAGGGGAGTAGAGAGAATAGTCCTTCAAAGCAACGTGAACGATTAACTATATTTTTTTTAAGATATACAAATAAAATCCCGTCCCGGAGGCCTAATTTAGTCCTCTTTCCCTTCCCACCCTTTTCTTATAAGGAAAGGATGGGTAGTGGAAGTGGACTTTCCGGATGAGTGGATGCATGGAAAGGGAAAATATTTTCTTTCTGCGCATCCTCTCCTCCGTCGATTAAAGGTATGCAATGCATATGCAATTGCGTATGTCTATGGGCAACGGTCACTTCGCACTTCAGCGATTTCAGGTAGCGGCTCGCTCGTTTGCCACCTTGTGATATAAAAAAATGTAAAGTACTAAAGTAAAAAGTAAATGTAAAGCCACAAGCAAACATTCTTGATTAGAGACATTCCGTTAAACGTTTGCTGATTAAAGGTCGAGTAATTTCTTCTTTGAAAGATAATTATCAATGATAGCACTCACAAAAAAATAATGCTTCATGGTTTTTATTATCTTGGTCTGAACGCTTATAACAATACTAGCTGTCTGCAGCGACTCCGTCCTCACGGAATTTAAAAAAAAATAAAAAGTAACCTATGTGTTCTTCCCGACTATGTTTTACATCCTACGATGGCATCCTAAGACACCTTCTAACTAACATCCATCTATCCAAACATTCGCATTTAATAATATCAGTGGGATTTATTTGTCTGTTACGTTTACATTTATTTACTTATCAATCAATATTAAATGAATTATGACTGTACTTTAATTATTTGTGCTTGTCATTTGCACATTTATGTGTGCATATTTAAATTAACCACACTAGACTGAACTTTAATGGCATGGCCAGAGGGGAGAAATTTTACAATTTAAAATGATAAACAAGAAACGATTGCTTGTTTGAGTAAACTATGGAATCAATTTTATTAATTTAATTACTTATTTAATAAAATACAAACACGGACAACGTTTAAAATAATATTCGTGAGTTTCTGAGACCAAAATCTCCGTTAAAAACATTATCTGTGGCACAACAGAGACAACAAATTTGATTTAAATATATCCATATTGGCGTCAGAAACTCACGGTTGTATATATGTAGTTCGCTGTGTCTCTGCTTGATATATTAAGAAGAAACTTTCCGACGAAGTCTTTGTTTACTTGCCAAGAAGTTTTCTCAATGAATCGAGTGTTGTTTTCTTAATAAAGTCTTCTGAAATCGTATTTAATGATCACGACCGTGTAAGTGTTCCTTGCAAGGGCAGGCTGCAGACTTGACAGACTGCCAATTGTGAGCGATAGATGTCGCTGTTCAATGTCAACCATCACTCGCTGCCACTTGCCATTGCCATATCGATCACCAAGACACGATGACACTGATGTTGCATGAAATATTATAACGAATTTTATAATATGTTTGAAAACATGTCAACATTGTTAATGGATGCCCTCAAACTGAATTAACATTTTTATTTAATTTATAGCTATACAAACTGTCGCACGACTGTGTTCGCGCGGAAATAAAAAAAAACTTAATAAGTAGCTTATGTGTTCTTCTAGACTATGTTCTGGACCTATGCAAAATTTCACCGAGATCTGTTCGCCGTTCTGGAGATAGTTTCAAACAAACATACATACGTCCATCCATCTAAACATTCGCATTTGTAATATTAGTAAGAAGTAAGATTGCTTGTTTGAAATTTTCGTGCTTTTTAGATATTTCTAAAACACATACAGTGGTATAACTTAATTGATTGTTGTCCTTATAAATCCTGACTATCAAAGATTAACAATAATCTTATTTTTCAACCATTTATTACATCATAAAGTCGCTCTTTAGCGATCTCTTCAGTACAAGTTAGTATTATTCTTATTTTTAATCTGCAGCTATTTTTTATCCGTATTAAATTGAAATGCGATGGAACAGGCTTCAATA